ATATGACCCCCTTTATTGTTATAGGGGATATGGCAAGGTTCGCAATAATATCGGCACACAAAAGCCGACGTTAGTGAAGTAATAACATTGTAATGATTTTCAAAATATAATAGATTGATTGTCAACTTTGCGTCTGAGTTGCCTTCAAATATGACTTCGCGCCCTTTAGTACCGAAATTATATACCACAATCTTAAAGTTGTTACCAAAATAAGATTGGAATTTGTTCAGTTCGGGTATTCCGCCACCGTTTGCCTCAATGTATACTTCAGCTTCCTGCATCAACTGTTTCGCCTTATTTAACTGAACATGACCTCTATCTCTTCTTATGTTCTCATAACCAGAATCGCCCGTGACTTTAGCTATGGCAACAACAAGAGCTCTGGGTAAACATAAGTTATCTGTATTTTTAATGGAAATAATCCCCTTTCGAGCAGAGCATTCTTCCTCAAAATTGTTGTAGTTACCCGCCTTAATCCTACCTTTGCACCCGGATAATTGTAGCCTCCAAACAGAAGGTTTCCGTACTTAAACCAGTTGAATTAGATTGATAAATGCTCGAAATTAATCCCCAAATATCTTCAAAAGATACCGATTCGGCAGGCTGGAATCGTAAGTACCCTCCCCCTCGCGAAAACTTTTTAGAACAAAAATTAAACCCGATCATATCAGAAGGAGAAACGTCAGTGCATATATAAGAGATTATTTGGTTGATGGCTGTTTTGATCCACAACACTGTGTTTTCATTGGGTGGAACGTCTTTGATTTTGAATTCTATTGTACGCCCCCTTAATGCGAACCTTTTAACGTTCTTTTGAAATTCGCCAACAATTTCGTATTTGGCCATAGTCACCAAAAAAAAAAGTTTGAATGGGGGTATAGGTAATTACCGAGTGAATCTGAAAGTGCTTACCTAGTTACAACACACCAGTGATGTACTTTTTATAGCGGCGAGAATTAGCTACCTACTCGCAATGATGCGATTGAAAAAAATGTTATTAATAACCTACTTTGCGTAATAATTATCGTGCAGAAATCTTACTCCTAGATACACTTAAACAAAAACCTTATCGCGCTGATAGCTATTTTTTCTTAAGTCTGATTCGAATTCGAATGCAAAACTGATTTTGGCATGCACGAGAATACCAACTTAATATGGAATTGGTAAGCCAGAAAAGAATTCAATCTGTGCGGCTCACAGGTACGTTTACACTTCGAAGTGCTTCTTTATACTGTCGACTTTGCACAGGTGCACTGACTTTATAAGAATGCATTACCTAGATATTTATCACGTGATCTATGATACAGATTATGCAATGAGCTTTAAAAATTGCAAAATTGGTGGAAGACATAATGCAGACCTTCTAATCGGTCTGTAATTTTTTACTAGGCGTAAGTACGAAGATTTCTTTACCAAGAAAAATATGAACTAACTGCCTCAATGTTCAAATGGATACTGATACGGTCTTCCGCTAATTGAAATTTTATTGCAGGTGTGTGATCACGTGATTTAACGTTATGCAACGCAAGTCTAAACGAAAATAAAGATTACTTTCAAAATCGGTGCAGATTTCAAACACCCCTCAGAAAACATACACGAATTTCACGATTGCCTTATTTTTGTTTATCCATTTATTGCCTAAAAATAATTAGAACGTAATTTATATAGCATACCCACGATTAATCAACCACAGCAGCACAGTGCAGGAATATGGAACGACGAGATACCTATATTTTGCATTAGTTCTTCGTAGCGCAGATGCTATATCGATACTCTACGACGGTAGTACGTGCGGGGAGTAGGTTCGAACCTTGATCTCTACGGGTTTTTTCTGAAAGATCCAAAAGTGGCATGTCCCCCCCACAACGACTGGATATGAACTGAGAAACAGTCGTCGATAACCATGTGGACGAGAGAGACCATGCAACGGCGACTGGAGGTAGATGCGTCGAAGAACGGGTGGGAGATCCATCCAATAGAAATCAAGGATTTGTCAGGACCAATGAGAACGAAGGAAAGGAGAAGGGGGTTGGAACCAATAGGAATCGAGGATTTGTCAGGACCAATGAGAACGAAGAAAAGGCGAAGGGGTGGAACCAATAAGAATCGAGGATTCTCAAACGAGGGCGGGGAGCCAATCAGATTAAAGGAGTGGGAGATGGGCGGGGTATAAGCCAACCAATAGGAAGCCAGGGGGCGGGGCTTAAAGGTGGAGGAGTGGGGGGTGGCCATAGTGGCCCCTATACTACTCGAATGGTTCTATAAGAATTCCAAAAAGAATCGAAGAAAATTCCAAGGAAATTTTGAGAGTATCCTAAGAAAGTCCTTCTAAGGGATGTGAAGTGAAGATTATTCTAGGAAGATTTAAATGGAGATGGGCGCCTATACACGGCCACTGCCATTATTTATTATTTTATTTATTTGCTGTATGGTGTTACAGGCCCGGCAGTCGAGCGAGAAAGAGAGAGCTGCGGGAGGAATTTTTAACCCTCGGTAGCAGGCAGAAATTTCGATGTCTGAGTTGCTTCCGAATCTACTCAAATTTCTCCTTTATTTTTTTTGTAATTGTATCACTAAATAAATAGGATGCAGGTAAATTAGTAGGTGCTTAATATTACAAATTTCAATTTGCAAGGCTTTTGTCTAAGATTGCGCCATGCTTGTACATGAGTTATCAATTCCGTTAGGACATAGAGTAAATAATATATTTACTCTATGGTTAGGATCATTAAAGGGTAAATTTGTTTTTTTTGTGATAGGTAGATAGCACATACATAATGTGATCGAAATTCCGTATTCCCTAGTTGGGTTGAAATACTAATAAAGAAACAAGATGTTGTCTTCCCCAGACAATAATTTATATTTATGCTTTGGTGGTTCAACATCCGTAATTACCAAAGCAGAAATATAAATTATTGTTTGAGGAAGATGTCTTGTTTTATTGATTTACATACATAATGCTTTCTCATATACCGGGTGGTGCCTAGCGCGACGCGGCATAGGGATTTCAATGGTAATTTCTTTATAGTCAATTACTAGCTCCCCTAATTATTTTAGAGCAAAAGTCTAAATACGTTTTTTTAGAGAAAAAAATACTGCATCTGTTCATACTTTTAGTTATAATTTTCCGTTTTTCAAAACCGTAGAAATCGATAAAATAAAAAGGTTCATTTTACAATAAATCAAATATGCCTTGGAATTACCTAAAAAACAGCCATCACGTTTCATTATTTGCCTTTGACGTATATTAAATTTATACTTGTTTATAAATTAGTTAAAGAACTGCAAGAACAATAACGTTCGAAATGTCCGTCAAAACCATCAGGAAAACGGCAATACATTCAACGTTTTGGCTGCAGTAGCGGAAAATCCGAATATAAGTTTAGGAACAAATCTTCTTCAAATCAGTTTTTTTTCTTTGATTATGTAAGTACTCTGATTCCGGAAAATGATAAACAAATAGTATCTGATGCAGATGCAGCATACATTCTCTAAAAAAACATTACCTTAAGATGCCTTTTATTGCCTCTGTTAGTTGAAACAGAATTAAATATGAAAATCGTTCGACGTCAAACAACGATAGGTAACTTAGATGCGATGCGCTTGTAGTTTGTTAAAAGATTCCAAAGCATCACTGATTTATAAAAACGTAATTTTTTATTTTGTCGATTTCTGCGGTTTTGAAAAATGGAAAATTATAACTAAAAGTATTGTAACGGAAATGCTCCAGACATGACGTCGCCTTTGGCGCTCTGGAATTTTCTACGCGCGCGATTATTCGAGAATGTACTAGACTTACATTGCTTGCGTGTATAAATGGTTGCGGACCGAACATCGCGGCAGTCTACTACCGAACGAGTACGTAAACATCGAGCACGGAAAGATAAATTGCGAAGTGTGAGTGATATAAATAATCGATATAAATTTGTGAGTGATATAAATAATCGATATAAATTGTACGGATTTTATAGTGTTTTAGTTCTGTTTAATAAATATTGATATAAATCGAACCCAAATTTATAAATCACGTTACAGTATGAACAGATCCAGTATTTTTTTCTAAAAAAAAAACGTATTTAGACTTTTGCTCTAAAATAATTAGGGGAGCTAGTAATTGACTATAAAGAAATTACCATTGAAATCCCTATGCTGCGTCGCGCTAGGCACCACCCTGTATAGGTAGGTACATAGCAAACTAGTTGATGACGTAGCTTCAACTGCGTTTGTAAAATAATTGTAAAACTAATATTCTGGTTTGAACTCAAAAGTTCGACTTGATTAGTTAGTGGGAGGTTGAATAATAATATACAGGGTGATTATTCAATTTAGGGCATTTTGAAGATTCTGTATACGCAGTCATATGCTATGGAACTTTCCATATGTATCTTATATTTTAACAATTGGCAGGAAAGCGACTTCAATATTCGAGTATGATTTTTGTTATCAGTTTATGCGATGGGTGGAGGGTTCGTTTGCGATGTATTCAACTGAAGAAGAAGTTGATATTGTCAATTGGTATAGTGCCGGAAACAGTTTAAGGAGCGTAAAAGGTTTAGATGAGGTGCTCTTCAGAACCGATTTTATCTTTTGAAAGTTGACATAGGGAAAAACACACGTAAATCCCTGTCTACTTCTTAATAAATATAACTGAAAATTTCAATGGAAGAGACACCCTAGTTAACTGCTCTATTATGTACTACGAGAGCATGTCTTGTAGACTGATCGGTATAGTTAACAAAAGCAATTGAAACAGTTTCCTCCCAGAATTCCTCTCGGAACCGAAATGTTATTGATATGATCCATTTCTCTTGAGAGTAATAAATTCAATTATCCAATTCTCCACTCCCCTGGTTCTTGGTGGTTTGGTTTGTTCCATTACTTGCTTATTTATGTTGCGATTGTGATAATTACCAACTGAACAGCAACAATATCTGTCCTCACCGACCGCACAGCTTTCCCTACGGCAATATTGTAAAATAGATTTTATTGAACTTACAGAGTAAATTTTCAGATAGGTAATTATTAGTATATGTACACAATACTTGCAAAATCAAAACTTCACGATCAAATTGAACAGTTTTAAGTACAGATATTAAAGAAGATATCGCATTAGCATTTGGAGCCGACAATGAAAATATAAAGCACGTAACCTATAAATGCAATCTGATCCCTTCCTTGCGCCTTTGTTTAATTAAAGGTTATGCTTTTATTTGTACAAAATTATTTCTGCCCATCAAATTGCATTCAAGCACATATCGAAACTGTGGCAGTGTTTTTTACGTAACAGTGAAATAGAATACTGATTGGTAGCTACCATACTTTACATTTATGTGGCGGATTCATGCGTGAACCCAATGGACAATTAAAATCGCGCGAAAAGTCCTCAAAATTACTAAGCGGACCTAGTATTCTAAATCTTGCGGGTGAGTGTTCGTCTAGTGGTATTGACGACGCTAGATATTCCTTTCGAGTCTTTGTGCACCAACAGTTCGCGACGGAAATCCAGAAAAGTTGTTTTGGTGTGTATTTCAGCCCAGGGAGTTTCTGTTCGGGCCCGTTCCGTTTAACCCATGCATTGTACGCGAGATAAGCCTCCTTGATTCCTCCGTTATCGGCGATGTTCTCGCCCTGGGTTAATTCGCCATTTATCTGCAAAAGGTGAGTGTCAGTATTACCTATTGTCGATGTCGTGAATACCAACCGGGACATTTACTTCGGGGTCAGTATAATTGGAATACTGCTCAATAATGCATTTCGCTTTGTCCAAAAAGGCGTCATTCGTGTCCTTCGCCCACCAATCTTCCAAATTGCCATTCACGTTTAGCTTACGACCTTGATCATCAAACCCGTGCGTAATTTCATGCCCGATGAAATAGCCGATGCCACCATAGTTCAACGCCTGCAAGCGGTCCTTGCTATAAAATACGTTCTGGAGAATGGCGGCGGGGATTTCTAAAATAGTGGTGCAAAAACTAGTCTTCCCAGTTTTAGGATGTACTCACGTATACTGTTCTCATAACCTGCGTAAGCCGCGTTAACTTCAGTAGCAGCATAGCGAGTTCTCCAGTCACCAGGGTCGAACTTCTTCGAGAGTAAATCTATTTCCAAATCACGATCGAAGATGGAAATGTTTCTCACGTGATCGATCGAGCTTCCCGGTACCAGCGTGAGCTGAAAAGGTACCGTGAGATTCAGCGTTAGCTTCCACGTTAGGACGTACGGTGGCGTAATGATCGCCGAGTTTTTTGTTATCGAGCAACTCGTCGGCGTATCCAATGTAGGATTTAATTGCCTTCGCCTTATCGATGGCGGTCTGCTTCGTCGTGCTATCCATCCACTCGGTTTTCCTTAATATTTCGATAAACTCATTTCTGATATCATCAACCATTATTCCTACGCTCTTTTTGGATTCTGGGTCGAAGTGCTTTCTGACAAAGATCGAGGAGCTTGCCAAATCAAAACTGAAACAAAAATGTATAGTAAGGTTTGGCCACCGCCAATGTTTACCTTGCGGTTGTCTTTGCGACACATTGACTCCATCTGGGCTCTCTCTGTTCAGCTCCTGTGAGCACCCCTTCGAATTGCAGCTCTCGGTTTCGAATTTCGTCAGGTACAAACATTTCAAACGAGCGGATTACATCGAAAATAATGTAGTTGGCCAACACTCTGAAACGGATCCATTAGAGCTCTAATTTTTCACTTTGCCACCAACCTTTTACTAGTGCGTCGTAAAATATCGTCAATAACCGATATGAAATGTGGGGAATGGACGCTGACTTGAGTTTTGCTTGTCACGTGAGACTGGGGTAGGATCAGAATGTTGTTAAGGTATTCTAACCAGTAAATGGTCGGGTACTTCTGTTGCAGTTCACTTATTGTCATAGGGTTGTATAGTGACGCACGATCTCTCCGTTCCTCATCGGACTGACTCGCCTGTTTCGAGTTTTAGCCACCATCATCACGACAACTGAGCATACTTACATTGGCAACTGTTTGCATGAATTCTATTAAATTCTTTACTTCGTACTTAGCAAATGCCTTATCTGCGCCCCAAAGTACAGCCAAATCCACGAGTAACTCTGTGTACGCCTCCACCGTTCCATCTTCAGCTCCAAGAGCCAGATTATCTTTACCCAGGTCCAGTTCAGGTTGATCTAACTAAAATATTAGACCAGTACTTACAACATTTTCAAATAAATTACCCTTACATATATACAAATACGGGAGGAATTTTTCATATCTGGTAGAATGTCTAGTTTGATGAACTTATTGTAGTTCAATCCATTCCTTCTGAGCTTATATGCGGCCTGCTGCCAGTCGAAAGCATTTTCATTCCAGTTCACATTTTCCACAATTGGGAATCCTCCCAGTTTGTTAACAAGCTCCCTCAAATGCAATAGTCCATTTACCTCAATCGCGCTGTTATTCATACAAGATTGATAAAATGTTTTCAAGAGGACAAATGGCCGAATGTCATCTGCTGTTATTGGCGCTGAGTAAAGCGCTCGCAGTTGCTGCTCTAACATATTACCGGCTTCGGTAAAAGGGCTAATTTCCATTCTATCATCCGGTATTACGGTGTCGCGAATAAAGTTGCCGCAAGCGAACTCGTAGAAATCCGTGCAGGGATCGAGCCTCGCATTCATGGTGTTTATAATCTTCGACGCCGCCCTTACGCAACCCGCAGTATTGCATATTTCTTCGCTAGAACAGAAAATCGAAAACTTAATTATTAGAATCAACAGTGAATTCCTAAGTAGAAGTTCCATTACACCCAAAGATTTCAGCCGCACTTCGCGCAAGAAATTGCAAAGACGCGTCGCGGTTTTTGTGGGGTAGCTTTTCACGAGTAGGTATTAATAAGAGATGCTATGAAAGGATTTGAACAGTTATACCTCCGTGAAAAGAGAATAAAGGTGAATGAGCCTATTCGAACGGTATCTGGCCAAACAAGTTGTCTTACCACCGCACCACACGAGTAGTACTTAGATTAATTAGATTTATAGTTATAAAGAATTTAGGGGATGTAGTAACTAATCCTTGTTCAAGTTTTGTTAGATAAAATGATCTGGTGGACAATGATTCCACTAATAACAATAACAATAAGCAATTCGGTAAAATAATAATTATTAACAAATTCGTATATGATTTCACTTCCGTTTCCCCTTTTTGATGAAATTTCATTCATGTGTGCGATGATATTCACCCACCATGTCGTAGCTCGTACTTTACGTTGTTTTGTGATTATATTTACCCTATACACACGGACCTAAATAAAACACAATTAATTATATTTGGTAGGAAACAGCAAAACAAATTATATGAATTTGATGATTTGTCTTCGTTGACTAAAAAACAGTTTAAAATTCTGCTTGTTCTAAATGTATATGTGAAACAACCCTAAATTATTCTTGGATAATAGTATAACGATGTTATATTTAAAAACAGAATGATTATAATAATAAGTTTAGCTGGTTTTGGCTAATATCGATACATAGTTACGTGTACTATAATACACTAAAAGTTACATTTGGTAAATTTATGGCAAATAAGGAAAAATTGGCAGCCATCTTGACTTTTTCCATTTTTTTGGTTAATATCTTAGTAAATTGAATCTTTATGAAAAAATGTGTAGAGTACTTTTTTGTTTAGAAGTGAAAAATACATACTACTCCAGCAGTTTTTTTATTGTCTTATTTGTCTTATTTCAATAGAAATTTTTTTATGTTGAAATATTTTCTTCCCTAACTATTTTACAGTTGCAAATAAATTTTTTATAGATTTATATAAGTTCTGCGTCTATTTATGTGCCCATTTGTAATTTTTTGTTGCGGGAAATCGGAAAAATTAAGGAAATTATAAATTATAGTTATAAATCGAATTTTTGTTTCAATAATTATACGGCCCGAGTGATTTTAGTAAAAAGACAATTGACAATTAATAAATGAAAACATGCGGAGACGCAGAATTTTTCAAGCCATAAGAAACCTATTTACAACTTTGCTCTAAATTCATTTGGGGAGAAAATATGTTAATATAAAGAAATTGGAATTGAAGTCCCTATGGTGCGTAAACCGTTTCTACACCCTGTAAATACAGTCACTTTCATATTAAATCGGCACTTTTGCTAACTTTCTTAGTTGTAGAGTTAGAAAGACGGTTAAACCATCAAAATTGTGTATTTTCTTCTACTGAATCCGAATCTGTGACCAAAAAAACAAAACAACATCGCATTGCTCAGATAATAACAAAAATTTTCATATGGTATACCTTGTATATTATAACTTCATATATGACAGCTTATTAAATTCTCTGCAACAATTCTTAATGCACCATAGCCAAAATACAACAAATAGGTACCTAAGATTTTTCAATTATTTTCATTTCGCCCTACTTACCCACGAGAATGATATAAATACATGATAGTACTTGATATACTGTGATGGAGTAATAAGTAGGTTAATTAATTTTAATGAGTGGGGACGAATGGTGAATGATTGGTGATTGAAAGGGAGCGAGGAATGAATGAGTAGAAACGCAAGAATTAGATATGTAGCTAAATTTTGGGTACATTATTTCGAACAGAGGATATTACAAAACAATATAATTAGAAATAGGACCTATCACAGTAGGTTATTAACAAAATAAGAATAATAGATGCAGTAAGTAATCGATATAAAAATAACCTACAGGTTACAATAGATGTTCAAAAACGTTTCCATTTTCTTTAGTAGGTACATTTTTGGAACCTTTTTAGCGCATTTCCACAAAAATAAAAAAAAATGCGCTATTGTGGCCACTTTCCGTCCGTCCGTCCGTCCGTTTGCGACGCTACTAGTTTTTTATCTTAAGAGCTATTGTTCTACTTTTTTCGCTATTTGGTTCGTTATGGTGTCGAGTCTTGTACCAAGGAAGGAATTTTTTTCTGTACCGCTTACAAAAAAAGTTATTGTAAAAAAAACAAAAAACCGTTTTTTACATGTTCCATAATTTTACACTTTTGCCGTTTATTAACGATCCTAGAGATCGTTTATAATTTTGCATTGCTATCTGTCGCCTGCCTGTTGGTCTCTCCGTCTGTTCCTTTGTCTGTCTGTCCATCTATCTGTCCGTGTGAACGATAACTTTGTTTAGAAATGTTCGATCGCTTTTACATCTCCGTTAGTTATGAACTGAATTGCATGAAATTCAATATGGGCATAGATTTAGCCATATAATACGCAATGCCAAAAGTTGGATCGAATCGATTCAAAATTCACAGTGCCCTTTTCGCATCTCGACCATTTATAAACCGAATTGCAAACTTTTTTACTTATAAAAGTATTTGAATGAAATTTGATACATAGGCACTTGGAATAAAGGAAAATCAAACGCCAATTTCAAAATTTGGTTTTGCGCATGCGCAGTGCCAACTTTTTTATTTATGGAAGAATTTAAACGAAATTTGATACATAGGCACTTGGGATAAAGGAAAATCAAACGCCAGTTTCAAAATTTTATATTGCGCATGCGCCGTGCCAACTTTTTTATCTATGGAACTATTTAAGTGAAATTTGATACTTAGGCGCTTGGAACAAAGGAAAATCTTAGTTTATTAGTTAGTTATAGTAAATTAGTTTTAAAATTTAGGTTGCGCATGCGCAGTTCCAACTTTCTTATTTAGAAAAGCATTGAAATGAAATTCTTCTCATAAACTGAAATTGAAGTAGCACGTCAACAATGGATTGCCCATGTGCAACGCTATCTTTCATATTTGTGGCCGGATTTTTACGATTTTAACAGAAGTTGCATCTTACAAATGGGAAATGAATGCAAGTGGAAATGCGCTTTATGTAAATCGTTTACGATTACTTTTTAACTTGTTAATATTGAATTGGAAGCTTTGCGCTTGTATTGCGCTTACAAATTTTTTTATACAGCCCCAAAGAAAGAAATCCAGAGGGGAAGCTCTGTGGCGGTACCCCATGTTGTTGGAAGTACGTAACTCTTCGACTGTGCACTAATCTAATATCATCCAAAAAGTTCTCTAACACGTCTGTTATTAAATTGAGGTATCTTTCACAATTAAGACTACCCTCATAAAAATTGGTCCAATAATTATTCTCCCTATAATACCACATGTGGATCACTTGGATTGTCATAAGGAGTAGATTCTCTCGGGACCAATAGTGCATATTTTTTCTTGTACATGGAAGATGAAGAAATAACAGAATCTTTGTTGTAAATGTAACTACGAACTTAAAGTTATTTCTAAAAATGAAAATATGTACCTAGCTATTACCAGGTTAAATTGAAAATTTTAATTTTTTCGCTTTCTAAAAGCTGTACTTTTTTTAATTTTAGACAATTATTACTTTGGTGCCAAAATATGTGCGCATATATGCTCTAAAAAAAATTTTTGGTAAATACATACATAAATAAATAATCTAAAAATTAAAAAAAAAAGATGGCGGATATTTTTTTATATTTGTCATAGTGGGATCGAATGGGACTTTTAGTGTGTTAATAAGAAAGATGTTCCCTACATGGCCTACACCTTAAAAAAATAATTAGCTTGTCTCTAATTTGTTCTACCCTCGGTTCTACCCTAAGACCCATATTGCCTGTACTAATATGTTATAACTGTTCGAAATTCATGTCGAAGTTCTCAGTTTTGAAAATGATAAAGTTTAGTTTTTTTAATGAAAAACCTCTTGGTATTCCGCATCAGTTGATTTTACACTACAAAATAGGGACAGTTTGTTATTACATCCCCATTCTCCAAATAGACCGTTTTTGTAGCAAGTGAACCGAAGCGAGTATTAGGCAATTCCGCTTGGCATGCGGACGTGGGGTATCGGGCACAAATGTTCCTCACATCATTTTTTACATGATCAAAAAATCGCTAACAAATCAATTGTCATGTGGGTTACGAAATTAGTTTTGACATGCCTGCTCTAGAGCATAAAGTGGTACTTTATGCCCGCGTGTCATAGCTATAAAATGTGCTTTAATACGTTAGTAAGACATAAACATGTTTTATACTCCTTCCCTTGCGGAAGTTTGGTCTCTTACCTCCTTCTAAGATCTGAAATTCAAAGTCTATTCTGGTTCGACGGAACTCTAATAAAAACGCATATGACTTTAGTTGATTGAATATGTTGATAAACATTTCTGTGTAAAAATATAGGTTTGATTTATACAAAGAAACAACGCCTATTTGGTGATCACGTGTCCTTGATAAATTTGATTCCTATCTCGAAATTGCATCTTTACCACATAATAATAAAAACTGGTACATTCTTCTATTCGAAATAGTTATATAACCCCCTGAATACGAAATAAAAAATTTAATCCAAACAAAGGAATGGTAATACTGAAATTAAATGCAAATAAAATTCCCAATCACTGAAATAAACAACCCAAAATCCTTTGTTTGGATGTGATCCTTATCAATGAATGAAATACAGTACAGAATCTTTATACACAAATGGTTCTCATAGGTGGATTCCTTTAAGAATAGTATACGTGCAACTGGCATTTATGAATGTTGTAATGTTTAATTTTAGCACTGGCCTCTGCATGTTGTCACATTGATATTCTGTTTCCAATCTGTACCCACATTTAATTTGATAATGCGATAAGTCCTGTAGTACAAGTTCAACAATGATTTCAAATTGATATCAGCCTTGACTTGTAACATTTGACACTAACCGATATTTATATACATCGCCGCTGATTGCGATAAATTGGCTTTCATCGTTTGTTTAGTAAATTTGTAGTTTTTCAGTTCTTCGGGTATCAAAAACCATGGCATTTCACCATTGTCAATTGTTTCAATGACTGTGACAATCTAATGCAAATTGTACATCTTAATGAACGAATTCCGGACAACTAACAACATAATGCCGATTGCTAGGAATATTTTCCAAAAAACTCCAAATTACATTTCCGAAATTGTATGATCCAAATGTTTCAAAAAAATCCATGTTTGTATATTTCTATGATCCCTAAGAAATTTTTGGGAAGATTGAAAGATTTCTAGTGAACCTCGCGTATGCGTTAACATTCAGGGTGCATTTATTGAGTTAAATCTATCCGAATACATGTAAAGAATGAGCAGTTTAACTTCGGGTAACAACATTGAAGTAGCAAGAACTCTTAAATTTCGGGTATTTTGTGGAGAATCCTTTAAACAAATTCTGACTTGTGACAAAATGCGGATTGCTTGCAATTTTATGTGAGCTAGGAGACGTAACTTACGGGACGCAAAAAAACCTTTTAGCAGCCTAGTTCTTAGCAAGGCTTTTTTATTTACGAGTGGTAAAATCGTAGAATATACGCGAACAAGGTATTAAAACGGACACTAAACTCATGAGGTTTTTTTCGGATCGTTGACAGTAACCGCTGTTTGAAAGCAAGTTCCTTAAGGTTGAGTGTCGCCTTTGGACAGCAATAACTAAAATTATACAACGGCAGAGAATTTAAAGACAATTAATCCATGCTAATGTTAATAAATTGGGCAAAAATAATATCAACACAGTAGCGGAGCATTGGCATTTCATTCTTTTGTTAAATCGCGATACAATGGCAGAGAATTTAAAGACAATTAATCCATGCCAATGTTAATAAATTGGACAAAAATAATATCAACACAGCAGCGGAGCATTGGCATTTTATGCCTTTGTATAATCGCGATTACGAGTTTTACTTTACCAAACTGAAGCCGGTTTACTTGGATTCGCGATTCGTACGAACCTTTACGACCGCCAACAACCATTATTTTAAATTTGTTGATTTATATAAAGTAGCGGTTCGAAGTTTTTTAATGTTCCTAAAGGAAGCGACCTATGAAAACCATTTACATGAACAGATTTGTATTACATTTATGAATTAGAATTGGATCTAAGCTAAGAATTTTGGTTATTTTGTTTCATTGATTGGCAAATTGCATTTAATATCAGTGATGCCATTTCTTTGGATGAATTAAAATTATATTTAGCAATTAGAGTATTTTGAACAGGAGAATGTACCAGTAATTCATTATGTGGTAAAGATGTATTTTAGATTAGGATCAAATTTAGCTTGGACCCGTGATCACGAGATAGGTATTGTATCTTTTTAATTTATTTTTATAAGCCAAATCGAAATTTTAAGTTAAATAATTTAGAAAGAAACATGAGGTTCGAATCCGAGTTTGAGCATGGATATTTGTAACTTTATAGTGGGTTGGATTGGTACAGCAGCTTTGGCTGAAACTTCGCCCACTTAAAAATAAAGGCCAAAAATAAATAAATATTCCCAGAGACACTACTGGGAAGATTTCTAAGTTTTTTTTAAGTTTATATGGGCATTAGCAATCGAAAGAAATTCAATTTCTATTTATCTTCCAGCATAATAATTACAAATTTGTAACTAAACGTCATTCCAGCCCTTCATTTCACGCATAATAAAAAGACAGTTGTCACATGGTAAGCAATTTTTCGTTCAGACTTTTTTTTGTGTAAATACTTCTATCTGGGTAATTAAACTGTTAACTTACTAACATGTGGCGTCGGGAGCAAGAGGGGTCAATTTAATGACAGACATCGAGAAAGAAACATTCTGCGCGTGTATCGCATAACTTTAGCTGCCCCAATTGAAAATAAACAAAATAGCTTTTACCTTTTCGATTTACGATGCGCAACTACTGCAAGTGCAATAATTAAAGCGATGAGTAGAATTAATGCTATAACTAGTAAGATGACTCCTTTCTTTTCTAGACTTGTTCTTCGTTTCCACCAGGAGTTGTTACGATTCCTGCAAAAAGAAAGTAAAATAAATTCCTTAGAATACAACCAGAAAGTAAATTAATCGTTTAATAAACATTTCCTGGTTAAATACAGAGACTCACATGGTTTTGGTCGTGCGAAAGAAATTTTACACTTTTGATATGCGTGCTTAAAAAGAATTTAAAGTGGAATAAACCGTTTTCACTCTTTCAGCTTTAAGAAGCAACCAATTACCGGACTGTTTATTTTTATTAATCGTTAGAATTAGTGGCTTTAATGGTTGGCATTACTCAACTTCAGTTACATTTTTTTTTCACATATCATACGCGTCATTAAGATTTATAGGGCGAGTGTTGCGTTTTTTTTTTTCGTTTTCCTACTACGAGAAAATGAATGAAAGTAATCGGTGTACAACAAACAAAACTTGGCGACGTTTTTGATAAGTTTATTAAAAGGTCTCATTTGTAGCGTATTTGAAGCATGAAGAGGCATTCTCAGTGCCAAATGCCTGCGCACTTTGCAATTGAAGGGGAACAAACATAATTAAAATGTTCCAGTTTTGTCACAAAATGTATCAGGATAATCGAAAATAAGCAAACACACTTCATAAGATTTTGGACACACCCTGCAGGTGAAATTGTGTATTAATTTGTTTATTTGTGCCGCTCCGCAATTGGTGGGACACTACTACGACCCAATTCAAAAACGGATGCCATTTTTGAAATTGTACCATAGAAAGGGACTATCTATTAAAATTGATTTCGTTCAAGAACCCTCAACTGCAAGCTCCTGCTTTCATTTGCAAAAATTGCAAGTTCCTCTACTAGTTGTATTTGCCCCCATACTTCGCATCGGTCAAGCAGTTCATCAGGAAACCAATTCAAACGTATTTTTTACAACATTCGTTTTTATTCTTCAACGTGGTTCCCTTATAGAGTGATACTGCAACGTCAATTTAATTACTTGATTTTTTTAATTTACAATTAATAAATAATAAATTGATAACAGTCTCGAAATGATTTGATTTATAACCGTTAATTTATTATTTATCATTCACATATACACAATTTATAACAGCGCAAACTATTTATGGTTTTATAGTCTACTTTTACCAAAAGAAGACATTGTATACCTGCTCTGTTTTTAAGAAATACCTTTGCAAGCATATTTGAGGAGACAAGGTTCAGGTATGTGAAGCCTCCCGCCGATGTTAAAAATTTACAGATTGGCAAAAAAAAGAGGGCGTTGCTCATTCATTATCGTAGGACAAGGTTATTTATAAGGTTTATTATTCTTGAATGAATGTTTTTTTAAAGTTATTTAGTAAGATACTTACTATGTTTCTTTTTTTTACTACTTGTGCATTATGTGCAGTGTTTTGAACTTTTTTCTTTGTTTATATAGCTAAATGAATAAGTCCTTTATGTTGCTCTTCGAAGCAAAAGTGGAATTTTTGCACTTTTTACGATACCTATAAACGATCTATTACACGTTGTAATCGATTTATTGGATGTTTCAATTGTTTTAGTGTACCCATTATGTAATTAGTATGAATATATTTAACTTTCAGAGCGTGACTATGATTTGTATATTCCCACATTATTTAAATGCGGCTCTTATTTTTTTTCAGGTAGCACACATACTGCACATTTAATTATTTGATGGCACTCATATTAAATTCAATGGATGCTAAATTTTTTTAAATCACGGACAGCTTTTTATATTGCCAATTTATATAGTTTACTGCAGGTGAATTATATAAACACTGCTGGACAACTTTGTTTACTGTCAGATTATTTTTTTACCACCAATATTTGTTAATTGTTGTAACCGCAACGAGTGTAAGGTAACGTCTGGAAATTAAGGAATGCATTTTTATTAGTTTGATTACATTGTATCCTTCAGATTACCTGTGTTACTTGAGAGCTACCGTTGCTTAGTAAATTAGCTTTGGAAGTTACTGAGAGTTATATTTACAATTTTTAGTCACGTTATTTGATTTATTTCGAATTTCTTCATACGACTCTATTTACATTACATACATATGCATTGCTGTTATACAGAAATCTAATTATTTGAGTATTTTAAAGTAGTTTTCTTGAATTTAACGTCACGTTTATGCTTTTATACCCGAATTTGTACAAGAAATCCGTAATAAAAATTTTTCTTTTGGTGAGCAAACGTAAGTGGAATTATTGATGCTCATTGAGTATTAATTACAGTTTTCATATCATATTGGCCTCAGTGTCAGACGTTAGCATTGCTTACGCAATATTTTATGTGCCGCGATATTCACTACTCCTTTTATTTGTTTGTTGTTATTGTTTTCTGTTACAGAAAAGGCTGAACGCGCCCTCTTGAGCTCACAAAGTAGCGACAGGTATTTTTTTAAAATTTTAGTGGACTCCTTCATTATCCTTATCCTTAGCTTATCAAGACCATAACAAAGATCTCTTAGCCTGCCTTGCTTCGCCCTTGTGATAAGTATTCTCTCCTCTCTTTCGAAAGTGACTAAAGGCTAAAGTGGAGCCTATCCGGTTTACTATTACTGCATTCCCCTTTTTCTTTATTTTTGCTAGTGTACCAGAGCCAAGCTATTCACCTCTACTTTGCCCGAGCTTACCGTGTGATTACTTTGCAATGTACGCAGACGACACAGTCATAATAACTAAATATGAATGCTTGAAAATGGATATGTCAAAGCTACAAAACGTCAGCACTATTCTCAGCAGATGGTTCCAGAAATGGAACCTTTCCATTAATTGTGACAGATGTGCTGCAAAAATATTGACACTAAGGGTTAGTTTCTCCATCTCTCGATCAATTTATTCGGTAGATCAGTACCGTGACAGCGATTGTATCGACAATGGTATCTATGGAATTTATTCGGAGAGTAAAGTTATTGAGAGGTGGAAAATCCGGGCCTAAAACGCAACAATAACCCACAAGAAATCACATTTAACAGTTACATCATTCAGTGGAACACCAACAAAGAGCCCGTTAAATACTTAGGTATATATCTTGACAGTAAGCTAACGTCAAAATACAATCTTCTCAAAAGACCAAATGAAGCACACACCAATTGTACCAACTTCTAAATCTAAAATCCGCCCAAGCTTCCTCAATGCACTAATATATCCGGTAATCGTCAAAGGGTATGTGGTATGGAGCAACACAGCCAAAACAAACAAATTTCGAAATAATTCAAGTGCTCCAGAAAAAATCATCAGAATTGTAGTCAACGCTCCCTGGTTCATCACAAACCAACAAAACACGAACTAGGTATCAAAGATATTTCTTCAATGACGACAATTAAGTAACCGGTTCCAACATATCCAGTGCTCACATGTATACGTAAAAGTAACATTTAAATATTCTTTCGGTGATATGCTGCTCATGCTTGTTAATATATTACGCACATCTTGTTAACAGTGCTTTGTATAACACTGTAAATTGTTGACCAGGCAAAAGCCTAAGTAATAAAAAAAAAGAAAAAATCATTGTTAGGTTTATTGATGTTTAAAAGTTAGTTAAGAAATTTTGTGGTTTGAACATTATTAAAGAGCTCAAACTATAGGTACTTAAAGTCGTTTTGTCTTGCATGTATTTTATACCGTTTATGAATCCACAAAAATTGGATTTCTTTAAAAGGAATTGTTCTGTCAAGAAAGTTATTTCCGTTCATAATTTATTAATCGAAGAAAGTTTCCCATGTAGGGGGTCCATTACAATATGTTAGATAAACTGTGTATATAAAAATGTCAAATGTTTTGGTAATTTTGTGTTTGAATTTTCAAGTAAAAGTAAGTAATAATTTTTGCTAAAGAATAAGTTTTGATTTTGAAAAGGAAAAGAAGTTCAACCCCTTTTGTTGCAACAGGACCCGACCGAAACTGTAAAAATAAGGTAAAATGGTATACATTTCATGTGGTCTCTATTTTGTGCTCAATGAAACAAAGCAAAAGGTGTTTTAATATATTCTAAAAAAAAGCTAAAACCGATCATGAAATAGGTCCAATTACAAGAAATGGTGTTGCTTTAGCGTTTCTCGTACTTCAAAAAGTATCTGAACATTTTTTCTTCCCGTAGGACGTCTCTTAATTCAATTTTATTGATTTTATATGGGAAGACTGTTCAGTGACCCTTCTACATATTCCTAAGGAAGTAATTTAATTCGATTTTTCCTTTTGTACGATTGGCACACAAATTCGCCAATGAAAGATTGAAGATGCACTTCCGACTTCCGTATCGATCCTACACATTTCTAGAACTTTACATTCGGATGTTCCACATCGGCCTTTGTGCGAAACGCGTAGGTAAAAGATCTTTATTAGCTTTGGCATAGAATGATTCGCCAATAAATTGTATTTTATGTATGTAGTAGTTAGGCCCTGGAATAGATCTGCGTCATGGCATTTAATTATTATTTCGGATTATTTAAAGTGAATTGACGCGCTCTCAGAAGAATAGCTATTACAAACAGTCCAATTAACTAATAACAAAGTACGCATGAATCATAAGAAAGAATATTTCTTGGACAGGATGACAAACCTCGCGACGTACAACAATTGCTTTAGTCAAATTTATAAATAGACAATGCTGAAATGTCAAACTTTTCTATATAAATTATGCATAGGTAGATCAATTGATATCGAATGTCTTTTTAATATTCCGTTTCCATTTCCATAGTATAAATTGTGCATACATTATAGGAAATTGATACGTGATACGAATTGTCGATTTTAAATTGGGTAGTCCTAAAATTTTTGCGATCTATCAATTACGGAGCAATTTTATGTAGGGGTATTTATCTCTTTATACCCATCAACCCATTATAAAATAACAATATTTAAATAGCAGAAATTAGTGAATGTTGTACGGTTGTAAATTACAAATGCGACAATTTGATGTAATGGAAGGTAATTACATGCACACGATTCCAAGGCTGTGGAACCATGCTTCAATATCAACAGGTACATGTGAAAGGAGCTGCCCCCAATCTTTGAATTGCGATGCTTTGAGAAGATTCCGTTCTATTTTTGCAGTAACCACCCCCACAACTACTTATATTTTTGGTCGTGGTAAGGTAAGTACATGCCAAATCGGAAGCGCCGGAGTCGTTTTTACAATAATTAATGCAACTTCGTGACACATCTATGATATTGTGCCACCGTATATCTATTTGAACGGGGATTAAATAAAATTCAAAACGTGACGTACGTGCTCAGCGAGTAACTGCCGCAAACCGCATTAATGGGCATTGTTTACAATTACCGCATCAAAATATTTGTTTGAGTTTACTATACTAAAACTGATTAACAACGCAAAATTTAAGGGCAATTTTAGTAGGGGTTGTTAAAATATTTTAACTTACCTTCTAGCAACATCATTCGTTTCGTGTGCCATTTTCACCAAAAATTATATAAGGTCACAGATTTAAATTATCATTTTTTTACATAAACAAAGTTATCGGTCTTGTTGAATGGGTTACTTCATCAACAGTGTGCGCTTGCATAACGTAAAAATGTAATTAATTTCCCCACTTCACAATAATTCCAGTTTATTTTCAGATTATAATTGAATTTTTACAAGTTTGTGTTTGTGCCGCGTTAGAAGTCGAACCCGCTAATGGGAATGGCTTTAGTAGCGAAACTTACCACACGGTAGCCCCGATCTTTCAGATTGTTAACTAAAAACGATTGTAGAATAAACAGAAGTTCTATTCGTATTATACAAACGATAGGCAAACCGTTTAAACTTTCTGGTTTTATTAATCGATTGCCGACAGAGAATTAATTCATTTGCTTTTTGGTTATTCTAATTTTACTACTGACATAATTTTAAATCTATTTTTAACAGGCGTCGTTGGAGGAGTAGCTATTTTGTGAGATTTGTTTTGCGCTTTACGCATAAATTTACGATATTGTTGAACAGGAAATTGAATTTTTACGTAAGCAGTAACCCAACCTACACCTTATGAAACATTTCTCTGCCCTGTCCTCAATTTTCCGCACACTCGCCGCTGTGTGTTAAAAGGCAGACAGAATGGACTCATGCGAAAACGAAAATGCCGGCTCTTTTGTGATGCCAAGGGCGCTCGAGTTAAATGCCGCAATTACGTAAGCTAGCCACTCGCATAAAAAAACTCAAGGCTTTGAAAAATTAAAACACACAAAAGTCACAATCAGTTCAGATGCAACAAAGTTCTTTGCGGGGGTACATAGAGGATAGTGTTCAAAGGAAGGGAGGCGAAGATATTTAAAATAATGCTATTAATAGGTAAATAACAGTGTCTCTGTACCGAAAATACTACACACCCCACCCATATGTGACGTAGTGCATTATAATAAATTCATTTAACATTTTTATTGTCTGAGAAGCGTGATAGAATTTTTTCGATTAACAAATTTCTGCCAAGCAGGGAACTTTAAAACTAAATAAACTCGCTAGGAGCTCGTTAATAATTCAAGTGCAACTGTTTAGGGTCTGATTATAATGCATAAGTTCAACCCAGCATCAGCACAACCCCTAACCTATCGTGAAGCGGCGAACATGACCACAACCTCCAACCTGATCACAAACCCAACGACGCCGTGTCTATACGAATCTTGATCACAACTTTAAGGATCAATATGAAAACATCGCCTAACTTAACCACAACCCCCAATGGCTACAATATCCAAACTTTGAACATAACATTATAATCTGGAAAGTCTCAATTCAAGGTTTGATGAATTTCTTGAGAAGCAATCAACTTCCAAAACAACAACGGTTGGTGCTAAGCTACGGATTTTGGTACAAATATCATGAGTTAATCAAATCGTGTCCTTTTCAATCAACTTTTTTCGCTAACAATTTTATTGTACCCCGTCGACTATCTTACATCAGAATCAGTATGGATTCAGGAGTCAAAGAAACACGATTATTACATTTTCTAAATTCGTAAATAGTACCTACTTCGAACAAGGCCAATATTCCAGACCTATCGAAAGCTTTCAATAGCGTCTTGCTTGCTACGTGAAGTAGAAATTATGTACAAATTTGACACAAACAGCCTAAAATTAATTAATTCGTATCTGTGTGGGAGATTTCAGCATGTTGTGTACGATGGAGTGGTGTCTTCCACAGGGATCAATTTTAGGCCCCCTATTATTTCTCACATATTTTAATGATTTTGCGCATTAGGTATAGTCAACCGCACGCGGATTGCATTCTTTATGCAGATGACTCCACTTTAACTATACAACGCAAACAACATTAAAGTGGATTATTGTAAATTGTCAAAAACTCAAAATTACCATGGATACCTATCCCAAAAAATATTTATTTCTTGTACATTTTCAAATGCATAGCAAAAAACAATTATATATAAAAACAGTAATTAAGAAATACCTACTTGATAAGGCATATTTTTCAGTGCATGAATGTTTAACTGAGGGCTATAGCACAGATATACCTTACGCATATCTGTGGCTATAGTAATGTTTTAGACACATATGGTATTTTACATCACTGTATGTAATATATGATTGTAAAATATGTAAAATAATCGGTTTAAATTGGCAGAACCTGACATTTCGCATTAAGTACCTATGCCACATATGCGAAAGTTGTCAACACTGGCATTTGTTGCCTGAGGAAAGATTTGTGGTTTGAAATTTTTACCGAAATTGGAAATCAATTACCAGTATTGATTTAAATTCTCCTCACAGTATTATCTATCCATTTTCGAGTAACGCCGAGAGTAACGCTATTCCATTCGAGGCTATTGCGCAATTTAAGCTAACATCTTCCTTTCATTCAATGGTTTTTGCGAATTTGCAGCAAAAGAAAAATTCAGGATAAAATACTCTAACCAAGCTAACGGTCATGGTTGTAGAATTATTCAAAAAAATTATCTTACATCTTTTCAAAACTTAATAAAAAGAATTTATTTATGAAGGACACATGCTCTACTATAATATTATAAAAAAATTATTGTACCAGGGTTACTGATAATTGGGTACATTCGTTTGGAGAGGTGATAGAATAAGACGCAAGAAATAGATTTAACCGTAAGTAATATGCATTATAGAAAGTCAATAGGTTTTGAAATAATTATTTTAATTTTTAGTTTTAGTACCAAATTATGTAGTTATGGCAATTTTATTGCCCTTTTTTTGTTAACCGTTAAATGTTTGCTGTAAGATTCGTACCTTAATAGATAGCTATTACAATAAGACAGTTTTTAAAATAAGTTGTACGTAAACTGCACTGATATTCATTCGAAAATAACCTTCAAGAATTTTCACAAAATATTTTTAAAAATTATTTTTTCGAAATTTTTCTTTAAAATTTTCATACGATCGAAATGCTTTTGGACCTATTTTATTCCAAACGAAAGACCATAATATGGTTGAATAAGTATTCCAGCAAAAAAGTTACAAAAAATGGAACTCTACATTTCTTGAAAATTAAAATCTAGGTTTTGTATTACATGGGCTAAATTTACTCATAATATCTTGTTCTATCAGATTCCCAAAGGAACGTATCCAATTACCAGTAACCCTGTATACCGAAACGATCCTAAGGCATTTTGATTGTACAATCAAAATCCTTTTTTTATTGAGCTTTAATATTTTAATTGCAGTGAACTGCACCCTCGTTTCTAAATACCTTATTCTGTTGGTGTATAATAGTATTTTTCACTTCTTTTTAATTTTATCTTCAGAGGAAGAGTTAAAAATAAAGACAAAATAATTTAGAAAGAACGGTACGTGAATTTTATAATAGTTGTACTTTTAGATAAAATATAATACACCGTGTCAGAGATAGATGGATCACTAGGCAAAAAGTAAGAGATACAAATTGGGTTAAAACACACTTATAAAACATTTTTTATTTTTTAAATATTTTGAAAAAGTCGATTTTTTTAATTTTACGAACTATTTAAGCAAAACAAAAGACACTTCTCCACGGCAACTTTTAATGCTCTTTAAGGTTGAGTTCTTAATTTTGCCCCGACGTTTTGTCTTTGCTGAACCATCATAAATTTTTTTAATACGGCCTGGTATTGCGATATATTGCAATACACACAACACAACAAAGCCCTTTTTATTCTGAATTCAATGATGTATAGGATCTTATGATTTAATTAATTGCAGTTTAGCCTTTTTTTCGGACTTAATTATCATTAGTATTTCAGAAGGGTTTCAGTTGGATGAAACTAATAACCTGCAAATTTAACATTAGTGATACATCACAGGGCTGAGTAGACTAAAAAAAAGTATTCTTTGGAAAACAAATGTGGTAGGTAATGACGTATTTGAACTGATTATATACTATACCTAGCTACTATATATACCACAGCATAAGTGTATTTAAGGTAAGATTTTCTCTGCGCATAGATTTGGATTGTTGTTTTACCACATATTAGTTTGGTGTTTAATCTGTTAACGCTTTATTAGCGGCACACTCCTTCTCATTATAATCTAGATTCATTATTGCATTCATAACAAACAAACTGCAACACAAAAACAAGTAAAAGTATAGTGTTGCTGTTAAACACACAGTAAATTACCAACAGCATATAAATTACAACACCATTTAAATCTCTAACAATATTAAAAAGTGTTAAACACGCATTGACATCATATCTACTGGAGAAGGAATTTTATTCCCTTGAAGAATATTTTAATTCGTTGTTGTATTATTTAAATTCGGTTCGAAAAACTCCGTGACGATAATTAATAATAAACCTCTCTCCAAAAAGTTCTGAATTTGCATAGCAGATCTACCGAACCAATCTATTAGACCCTTGATTGAACCATAATCATTTCCGGTACGCATAAAGCGTCGTCATGAATCATTATCACCAAAGTGTGTTATAAATGGCCGAATATAAAAAGGTGAGTCCACCTGGTGGGATGCTATTGATATCAATATAACCATTACCTAACAATTTAGAGAGTACATGAATCCAATATATTTGGCCGTTGTTTCACTGATCGGATGTTCACTTCTTGCATGATATTAGTATATTCGCCTTAAATATGTGCTCTTCCCGTTTTACATTTTAAACATGTCAAAAATTAAAATTAATGTCAGTCGATAATGGGGAGACCATCAAATGACGGATAATCGGCTCCTTATTGTGCGTTGTAAAATTAAGTTCAGAATCAAAGATTACACCGAGATCTTTAATTTGAGCCACCCTTTTCAACTCAGTATCATTGATATTATTTTTAATCATAGTTTGTTTAGGCCTTTTAGGTAATTTTAGGCCTTAGATCGCACAACTTCTCCCCTATTTAACCACATTTGGATCCTTTTCTTCTTCTATAATGCCCATAGTGACCCTCTTTATCCCAGACACAGTGCATGTTTCAACGAAACTAACGTAATGACCATGGTTGATTCCAACTCGAAGGGGGTGGCCAATTGACTTCTTTTTAGGAAAAGATCAATGCCAACAAAGGTCTAAACAAAATTGAGCTTTTAGAGATTTGGTAAAAATCTTGTCTACAATCGCTTTATTTTCTATTTAAGGTCTCAGTGATTTTCTTACCTACGCCTGATATATTGCTTTGATATCCCTATATTGGATATTCTATTAAGATATGGTCGACAGTGACTATCTCGGCATACAGTGTGTCATTAAGTACCTCTCGCATGCTTTTAACCAGCAAGTGTTGTTGCGTTATACGGGTATATGTATGACCATTATAGTGATTGGCCACTTCAGACTTTTGTATACATAAAGTAGACAACACACAATGCAACCTCAATAACTTTGACGTACAGTACGTCCCAAAAATTGATGAACCGAATTAGAAATCAATATTACACTTCTTTTAACGATCTAGTTTATCGGAATTCTTATATTTTGAACAATTTCTATACATTTTGTAGGGAAGATTTTTTCTTGTTTTGAACATTTCACGCAATTATACGTCGTTTAGTATAAGAACAGTCGCAGGTAGCCGCCCACTGCAAAACTTATGTTTTTTTTCGCATAAGCTAGATAGAGAAATATGATGAGTATAATTTTTGTACAACGCAGGCGACCAGTTTTGCAGTGGGCGGCTACCTGCGATTGACGTAACTGATTTTATACTAGAAGAGCAATAATAGCGTAGTGACAGTAAAAAGTTACTGAATAATTGCAATTTAGAGTTTAGGTTTAGGTAAAATATTTCAACTTTTTTTGTGTCCATTTTTTTAATCAAAAGTAAAAGAGAAATCCACTTCATTGAAGAACTGGATTGAGTTTTTACAAACCGTAGTCGGCGCTATCCATTAAAAAAATATCACAAAATTTTCAAAAAAAAGACTCGTGGTTACCAAAGACATGCGATTACTCTGAAAGAAAAAAAGAAGTAATTGTACCACGAAAATCTTTTGTAATCGAAAGTTAGTAATAGGACTTTGTTGAGCTTGTGATTAAGACTCGGGTTTGACGCAAACATTGCTTTGTTTTTTCCCACGGTTCATTTGCTTCCTCTTCATTTCTTTTTTTGGCCGTTATTTTTAAGTGTTGGGGGTAGATAGTAGTAGTAGTAGTCTAACCACCAAAAACAATGATGCGACATCCTGTACGTGAGAGTATTTCAATTTACTAGCTAAATCTGAGGGTTTACGAAATAAGCACAGAGTTAGTTAGAATTTGTACCTCAGTGTTATTTTGCCTTTGAGAAAAATAATTATGCGTAATTTTTGTTTAAATTTTAGAGGAAATTCAACCAGGCAAATGTAAACGATGTTATTTTTGCACAAGACCGTTGATTATACGTAGTATATAATCAATGACAAGACTCTAAAACTAAATATTCTTGTATAACGTGCAAACATTTGTTTTTCTGATCCATGTTAAATCGTTGTGTCCCATATATGCTAATGCCGATGAGAGTATGTAGAAATTATCATTAAAATGCTGTTTTACAGTATACCTTAGTACTGGTGGTTTTATTTCGCAAGTTTTCAATAAATGTATTTTCATGAAATTATTTCTTTCTATACTAATTTATTTCTTCCGCGGTGCATAGAAAATATTCGTTTCTATGATAGTGGGCAGTTTCACCGCCATAAGTGCTTTTTTTCTGGCCTGGGTCAACCTTGGCCTGGGTCTCTCAGACCCGGCGCACCGGTTGGTGTGACGACTTGGGGCTCCCCTACCGAAAGGTTAATAGCTTTAGGGTGTATCGTTCGAGAATGTCGAGGTAACCAGAGATATTTTTTTATTTTAATTGGTTTTATCTGCCCTAAACAGCAGAATAAAGATTAGGTCATTTCTGTGCTGTGGTAACGCAGTGTTGCAAAAATGTAACCATACATGGGATCTGATTTATTATACCTTAGTTCTCAGTCTCTCACTTAATTTTGCGACAGAAATAAAACAAAGGAAAGGTCAAAGAAGGCTGTTTTCATTAATAAGAAGCCTTTTCATAGGTGTTAAAATGAAGGTAAGATTCGGATTCATCTGGGTTTTATTTTTTAGTTTTGAATAAAGAAGACTAACCATTTGACGCGATAAATTTCATTCTGAAATCATTTAGAGCGAAAGTTGCTATTTTTTCGGGAATCATAAAACCAAGTCGTGATTTCGAGTTTTTTTTCTGGAAACGGAAAACTTCAAACGCATTTTGCGAGTTGCGCGGTTAAAAAAGAACGAACTAAAGAAAAAGCTATTTAATTAAATGTATCAGAAGAAAAAAAGGGGTTTCTCTGTTTTAAACCATTTATGTATTATATATACAGGGTGACAATTTGAAAACTTACCACCCCCCATATCTTAGTAAATAAAAGAGATATTTAAAAAAATCAAAATCCGTTTCGGTAATTCGGAGGGGGAATCACAATTACATAGTTGGCGACGCACCCCCTCACAGTCCCTGTGCCCCAGCCACCCCAACTTTTAAATCTTAAATAGTGACCGCCCATGTGTGATACGTCGTTGGAAATGCTTTCCAACCATACCAAATAGCATTACATTTAGGTTAGTAATTATCGTGCAAATCAAAAAATAAACTACTTGTTTATTTACTAAGATATGGGGGGTGGTAAGTTTTCAAATTGTCACCCTGTATATTATAAGTTCATTCACAATAAACTGTCGTGATAAATCTAAAGTAAATCTAGCTTGCGTAGAAGTTTACATCCAAAAAGATTCGTCCAGGCAGCAACGATTCCCTGGAGAGGTTATAGAAGTAAAAGTATTTGTCGTTAGCAATCTCCCATTGTTAATTCCCAAAGTATTGTATCAAGAAGGAATAACCGCCCGCAGTCTATTTTGTACGAACATTATCATCTACCCAAGGACATTGTTCTAAGGGGTACTGTAACTATTTGTTTACCTAACATTAAAGGTTGATTATCTGTAAAAAAAAGGTGAAAGTTAAAAATTATCAAGGAATATTTGGATTTGCACGTTCTTTATGATATATCACTCTCTGGACAAATCGAAACCGTTTTGCATGTATTTTACAGTTCATTAACGCATCTGAATTTGATGTGATTGAAAATATCAGTTTTTCATCGGTTCACTGAAATTTCAGGAAAGAAAATGGTCAAATTAATAGGTCCATTCTGATTACCTATAAGGTGAATTGCCACGAAACTTCATCTATTTAACATGAACCCAGGTAACGCCGTAGACAGAAAACTTATAAAAAGGACTGTAAATCGGATCTTTCATCATCATCTATACATAATTATCGCTAACAAGTTAATTTTTGAAAAGTTGGAGTTTATTTCAAAGAAAGGATGAACAACCCCCTTAAAATGCAATTGCAAATTCTTCTTCTTGGCAGCTAGCAATTTGGGATACCAGAGCTAAGAAGCGAGACTTTTATATGCTTTGTCAGTAACGAATAATTAAAATGTAAGTAACGTACGCCATCCAAGGGTTAGTTATTTACATAAAAGTCAAAGACTTTGACACATTACTGGCGAGAAAATATTGAAGTACGAGGTCACTTTGGGACCGAGTACTTTAATTTCCGAGTCAAGTAATGGCATTTTACCGACGAGTTTTGTATGAAATTTTACCCTAAATCAATTATTTTAATATAAAATTTCTATTTTCATATAGATCTTTTGGTTAATGTCAATCTGTCTCAGTGATGACAAGAGTCATTAGACATTTAGCAATGTCACAGATGCGGCCGGTAAAGTGGCGGTGCGGCCGGCAAAGTAACAAGCGGCAGAAAATGTATTCTGCTCTACCTCTGTCACGGAAACAAATTTCCTAACAGAAAGTAGGCATAAGAATGAAGGTTTCAGGACAATTTTGGGTAAAATAATTTACATTCCTTAAACATGTTTTCAGGAAGCTAAACAAACAGGAAATACATTTTTCTGCTTGCTGTACCTTGTGAATTAGCAAATCAACTAGTTAACCTCCATATGCAGTTAATTAGATGATGATAGCTAATTAGGTGCAAGTTGTTCTACAAGATGACAACACCATCATTATTTTGCACTCATTACCTTTAATTAAAGTGATATACCTTTACGGATTTTCTTTTGGTATATTTAACACGGTTTTAACTTGTGGTAAGAAACAGCAAGTTTTATTTTGCACACCACAAAAACTTCAGATAAGTACTTGTATATTTATTGTTAGCCAACAGAGGTGGAAATTGGCATTTGTACATTTTTAGATTAGGGTTTCATATTTCGCCAAACACGACGTCTTCTGGTACAATAGCGTTTCGAAGTCCACGCGTTCGGCAAAAAATGATTGTTTGTAGCAGTTACCAAACGCTACATTTCTCTTTGGGATTCATGTTAGATCCTTCCTTGCAGTGAAAGTCCTTATGGAAGTAATCTGAATTTCTCAATGGCACTAAAACGCGATACTTTGGAGGGGAATGGTTATCCGTTAAGACATCCTGTCGTAACGATTCCTTCCTATGGCACGTGCACCACGTGTTCGCCACCGATATCCAAAATAATTGATTCGCAGTATAATTAAGCCCGGGAAGTTGTGGTTCAGGGCCATGGACTTCCACCCACGACTGATACGCCAAATATGCCTCTTTCAATCCACCGTTATCGGCGATATTTTCTCCTTGTGTGTTAATTCCATGTAACTGAAAGCGTTGGTCAAGCTCTGCGCCCAGCATTCGGTACTTACATTTAATTTCACCTCGGGTACAGTTATATTGTTGTACTGGTCGATTATGCACTTTGCTTTCTCGGAGAATGCCTCGTCTGTCCCTTCATCCCACCAATTCACTAGGTTACCATTTTTATCATACTGCTTTCCTTCGTCGTCAAACCCGTGAGTCAACTCGTGTCCAATAATTTGACCTATGGACCCGTAGTTCATAGCGTGAATTCGATCACTATCAAAGAATATTCCCTGGAGTATGGCCGCCGGAAATTCTGCGCAACAATGGTTGAAATTAGAACACGTTAACGACAAGTCAATCTCCTATTGAATGCTTAAGATAATACCTACGAATTCCGTTTTCACTAGGATCGTAGAATGCATTGATGACAATGGGCGAAGGTCTCGTAACCCAATCGGTTTTATTTATTGGTGTCCAGACAAGCCCTACCGTTTTGTCGGTTTTAAACATCGTAATATTCCCGATAAAATGAATGTAGTTTGTTGTATAGAAATCATTCAGCTGAAAGACAACGTAAGGCATTGCGGCTATTACTCAGGCTCACCGGTTCATAGTATTCCTCGAGCTTTTTGTCGTCCAAAAGCTCAACTGCGTAACCAATATGTGCGTGAATCGCCATCGCTTTGTCTATCGCCGTCGCTTTGGTACTTTCATCCATCCATGTGAGCATTCTTAATATATCGACAAATTTACTTCGGATATTGGTCACCATTTCAATGGCGCTCCTTCGTGCTTCCTCCGAAAAGTATGTCCGTATATACAACGCCCCGGCTGCATGCCCCAACCTAAAAGTGTAATTAGTTTTGCACAAACTAACTCCCTCTTACATGTCTTTTGCTGTATTTATACACTGTCGCCATTTCGCCATTCTAGTTGTCGTTCCGTATAGAACAGTTTCAAACTTATCTTGCAAAACTCTTATCCTTTCAGGCAAATAGGACTGCAAGGACCTCACGGCTTGGAAAATGGCGTGATTGGCTTGTACCCTGAAAAGTATTTCGTGTAGACGGCGAGTACAAAGAGAACTGTTACCTTCGCGAAGTTTTCTGAAGTAACTTTTCTAATTGAGAGATATACTCCGGAACGTTTATGACAACGGAATCATTAATCGTCATTCCTCTATCGGTGAACGCCATAACGTTGTTTATGAACTCTACCCATTTTATTGACGGATATCTTTCTTGTAGTTCTCTTATGGTCATGGGATTGTAAAGAGCGGTTTCGTTGCGGCGTTCTTCTGGAGGCAACGTAATCTGTAAAAAAAAACACTTAATGATTGTCCATTTTTATGACCAATTAATTTTTGTGCTTTAGCTTAGCCGAGCTTCAAATTTCCAGACTCGAAAATAAAGATGCTATTTAGTCAGTGGTCTATGCAGTAAGTCAGTCAGGCTGGTGAAAATCGGTACGTAAAACTGAGTAATATGATTAAGATTTATTTCGATTTTCAGTTTAGGAGTATAATCTGATCAGAATTCTCATTCTTGACCTTAAGGAAAATCTTGTGCAAAAAACTCTATCATGATTTTATTAGTAGGATTATGAGTGATTTGATAAGATAGGTAGATAGATTTTATAGTGAGATAATCTGACCGTAATTACATAACAGTAGATACTGAGAGAAGGGATATAAATAGAAGTGATTTCGTGTGAGAAGTGAAGTGATTCCACGGGCAACCTCAGGCGTCGAACCTTCACCACTTTTCCAATTTACAGCCGCATTTTTGAAAAAAACGAAGAAGCGAAGACTTCTATGGGGCCACGCCCACTAGCCATCCAGTCCATCTATTTATAAATTATCTGCATAAAGAATTTGAGGAATCCCTAGCATTTTTAGGAATCTTAACTCATCAATGGACTGTTGGATCCATCAATCCAACGGTTTTGTAAGGTAAAAAGGATATGAAGAATCTGCATAATAGTCCAATGTAGCGGTCGGCAACCTAGGGCTACGAGATGGTAAGCCTCACGGCGCTTGGAACATTAACCCTGGACTTGGGATTTATAGTTAGAAAAGTTTCAAATGTTTCCGTCTATTCCTCGACCAGGTTTTTATTTAAAAATGCAAACGATCTGTTATGGGATAGTAGATCCTTTTTCAATACAAAAAATGACAGCTAGGTCAATGGGGTGACTGTAACCTCACCAATCGCACCGATCAATATATGTATTATTTTGTCCACAACTGTATTTAATCTACAATCAACTCACTGGGTAATAACTTCTTAAGGCGAGCCTCGACGCGAGGTGTCAAACTAATTAATTAGACGTGACCTAAAATTTCCACGGTCTTCTCTCAATCAAAATTTGGTTGCTCATACCTTATTAGCTTTTCAGCTCTCAATACCATTTAAGGGAACATCTGTTTCAAATTTCAACCAAATCGGTCTAGTGGTCTCGGCTAAACCTTATTTACAAGAAGCATAAGCACTTTTTTTTTGGGAGTGATTTCAATAACCTCCCAATTTTTTATTGGTGAGGTTAAAATGGAGTGAATTTCCCTAATAGACAATGAAGCCAATGAATCTAGTAACCGCAGTTTAATAATAAAACCAATCCTATAATTATTAGCGTAACAATAAACATGTAGACGGATTGTTCACGTCCAATAGACCGTTATGTCTGAAATACTGGCAAAAAACTATTAGGTTGACTGAACTATGTAAATATCTGTTTATACTTTCATTGGATCACTACAAGCCTGCCTTTCCGATCTAATACTTCAACTTGTCCTTTTATTTGAGTGTCATAAAAAAACAAATGGACTAATAAAAACTGCGGCCCGGTATTTGCTTTACTATTAAGAGAAATAGAAGGAAAGTAATGCACTCACATTGGCAAGTTCTCCTCTAAATCTGATCATCACCTCCAACTCATATTCAGCAAACTTCCTTTCCGCTCCAAAAATTACCGCCACCTCGACCATGTAATTAAAGTAAGCCTTTACAACTTCATCACTCAGACCAGTTATCCAGTTCTCCCGGTCCAATTCCAGCTCAACTTGATCTAACTGAAGGAAACACAATTAGCACATATAAACCTCTAATTGCAATGTTTCGATTGGATTACATTGAGCATACGCCTCGATGAGTTCTTGAAGTCCGGAAATAAATTAAACGATATAAAGTTATCGGTACCGAGCCCGTGCTTTCGAAATTTGAAAACCGACCACTGCCAATCAAACTCATGCTCCTTCCACGCTTTTCCCTCGACAACGGGCCAGCCGCCTAAATCCTTGATGATTTCTTTCACTGTATTAATACCGTCAGCCTCAATGGCGGACGTATTCATGCACACTGTGTAAAAATTCTTCAATAAAGTAAACGGTTTTATTTCGTCCTTCGTTTGTGGCTCTTCAATTAGAAGTTTTAGTTGGTTTTGTAGCGATTGTTCCACGTGAGTAAATACGGTAACTTGATCTTTATCCGACGGTATCTGGGTCTCTTTCAGAAATTTACCGCAGGCGAATGAGTAAAAGTCGTCGCACGGGTCCACTGAGGGATCTATAAAACTTTGTATTTCTCTAGCGGCTTTAAGACATCCAGGAGTATGGCATTCGGGCTGTGTGGTGGTGGACTGTATCGATGATGCGTGCCTGCAACAATTGAAATGATTGAAACTTTTATATTCGTGTTGATGTAGTGGAAAAACACAACCGGTATCGTGGGAAGTATTTCATGCTCAAGGTCGTTTCCAAAATATTTCCGTCGAGATTTCCTGGTTTATTAACAGTTTTAAGTTGAAGGTTAAATAATTGCGTCTGAAGTTTGAGGAGGATACATCATTTCTCTGGCTACTCATACCATAGTTCTTAGTTGAATCTCTTGAACTCAAGGGTAAAAAATGTAGAGTACTGGATCTCTGTCGTTATACCTATTAAAAGGCGTGTGAAAGGTATTTTCCAGTTCACTGGTTCATGCAATATAATATGATTTCTGTGGGAATTACCTAATTACACTAAAATAAAGGTGTGCATTAGGTCGAGAAAGTAAAAACCAAACCAGAACTAATGACCACAATGGGTCATGATGAAATTTATTAAGAAATTGTTAAACTGAGATCATTTTGACCATACCAGTATGTCTAAATTTCGAGAATCGATTACCCAGTTCGTAAGAAGTGTAAAATGAGGCTGCAAAAGGCGTCTTGTACATTCCAAGGATTTTATCTCGGATTTTATTTAATTAAGTACGTAGTACGTGTACAAATCAATTTAGTATAGAATATGCGCTATATCTAAAGATTGTATGTTAAACGCAGGGCATTACATCAAATTTATGGAAGATATTATCAATAAGAACCGAAAGCACCGAATAGTACGAATGCAATTGCAGTCACCTTTTCATACCAAATTTTAAATTGTGGTGAGTTATTAATGAGACTTATGCTACAGTAGTCTACTATTGTTAAATAGAATCAAAACGTTGGAAGATATTTTTATTGAACTGGAAAATTCACAGATTTCGCAATCCATGCAACCATCGGAGACATTGGAAATGACAACCCTACTGAATAATAAGCGTCGTAATTAGAGTTTTACTTCGCGTACCGATCACAGTCGAGTACAGTACAATCGTCACTTGATGCGACACCGCTGTCTTTTCTGCCTGAACGAAAACTCGTATCTTTGTACCAATATACCCATATGAAACCATAAACATTTCCAATGTTAAAACAATGGTTGATCGTATTATTTACTACGAGGTGTGTCGCTTTTAAAATTTAAAAACATGGTGTTAAGGGTTTTCTTGGAGTAAAAAATGTGGCAAATAAATTTTAAAAAAACAGCTAAAAGGCAATTGCTTAGGTGAAAAAACTTTTCGGAACGATTACAACCTGAAAACGGTAAACGTAGAAGAGTATGTACAATTGGCTACAAGACAGGCAGTGTGATTTATGCATGATGGTGCACTAATTTTATTGTTCGACAGTTTTTAACAGCAACATACCAATATCGCTGGGCTAGTCGAGGTGGACCTCACTCACGGCCAATCCGATCCCTGAACTTAAACCCCCTGGATTATAGGCTATGGAGTTACCTAAAATCATTAGTTTACACTAGGCTAGTAGAAAATATTGTGGACGATTTAAGAGATCGGATAATTGCTGGGTGTATCCATTGAATAAAAACACTATTTTTATTCAATGGTGAAACTCAACAAGAAAGAATCATAAATTGTTATTATTGCTGAAAAATGTTTCGCTTTGTATCTTCGCAACAAAGAACTTTTTTTAAATCACCAAAGAATAAAATATGCTTAGAATACACCAAGGAATTGTCTCTTTGATGTTTACCACATGCTTAACAAACACCCTGTATTAAGAGGTAAAGCAAATGGACGATTACCAAAAAATATGGTGTAACCTAAATTAATTACGTGATTTATTTATTTACAATAATTATTAAACAGTTATCAAATGGATTAATTTATAACAGTTAATTATTATTGATCACTTAATATTTATAACATAACACGACTCACGAGCATGAACTTAATATTTCAATTCGGCGTCAATGTTGGAACTAACTTGATTTGCCTATATATCAAACAACAATTCTTCTAGAATATACACTGTCCACTTGCAACTTCGTACGTTCGATATTGACGGATATCTGATAACGAATACATCGGCACGGTATGCGAAATAGCACAGTGCGACATTAACGCAAAAAGAAGTTATTAAAAAAATTCTAGAATCCGATCGGGCGTAATTTTGAATCTAAACCATAGGGGACACACAGAGATACATAAAAAAAGATATCATCAAAATCCGTCAAGCCGTTCAGGAGTTCAGGTACAACACACGTACAGAAGAATTCTATATACAGGGTGTAGAAACGGTTTACGCGCCATAGGGATTGCAATGGTAATTTCTTTACATCGAAAAATTTTCTCCCCTAATTAATTTGGAGGAAAGTCGTCAATAGGTTTTTTGTAGCTTGAAAAATTTGGTGTCTTCTCTTGTCAATTCGGGAAACCGGAAAAAAGAAATAAATTAGAATTTAGTATTTACGTAAAACTCGAATTTTTGTTTCAATCAAGAGTGATTCTTACTAAAAACAAAAATTAGATTTATAATTATAATTCATTACAGATATAGAGGCAGAATTTTAAAATGCGTAAACCGTTTCTACACCCTGTATATAGGCTAGACTTTCCCATGTGACTTCGTGCGCTCGATATTGACAAATATATGATAACGGAAACCCAGTGAACAGAATGTAAAAGTGTAATCACATTGGCACAGGTTGACGTAAATGACTTGGCGCATGTACCTATCGATCGGTACGCGAAATAGCAGAGTGCGATACCAACGAAAAAAAATTTTTTTTAAATCCTATAATCCCAATTGTGAATCCACACCATCCGAGGACCCACAGGGACACATAAAGAACATTTCACCCTCTAGCCGTTTAGGAGGAGTTCAGTCACAAACACATGTGCAGAAGAATTTCATATATAATAATTATACATATATTATAGGTAACTCTAGCATTACAAAACATTTCTAAATGGCGAAAGGTATGTGCAATTAGAGAGATTATTGTAGATTATTTCAACACAGTCAAACACAAAAACCGAAATATTTCATGTACCTACACATTACAAAAGTACGCGTTTGCGCGAAACTGCAGTGTGAGTGCAGGGTTTATAAATTTCCATGGTTGGAGAATTCGTTATGTCGAAAAAATATGAACATTTTTAATAAAACGGTATGGTAAAAGAAATCATTAGAGTGCGGTTGCTGTACAGGAAGTCCTTACTCATAGTGTGTCATAAATTTGATAAGCCTGCTACTGTATTACTATCGCATCTAATAGAAAATGATGATAGAGGTACTTTCGCGTAATTTTTAGATTATTTATTTACTTATTATTTATTTGTTGGGCCAGGCACCATACGGAATGCAAAGCATCCCAATTACATGGCACTGGGATGCTAGAACTACATAGAAATTACCATCTTATCTAATTACAAGAACACTGCAAAACAATCAAGGGTTAGTAATTTTAGACTTCTGTAAACAATGTGTCTGAAAAAAAGACGATAAAAACAATTTTCTCCTCCAGGATTATCTCATCCATAATCTTGTTCAAAAATTTGTTCAAACATATTCATTGTGTCTACCTAATCAACTCGGTGATAGTTAATGATACTTTAACCAGTAGATTGGTAGATTTTTATACACGGGCTGACTACAATGCTTGATTTCCACTATTTATGCTTTATCTAGCATCCGCTGCCTTTAGAAAAAGGCTTATTGAGCACAAGGTTGACGTACGACATAGAAACAAAGTGAATGTGTCTTCTACTTTAATAAACAGGTACACCGCAACATAGATTCCTTTTCAAAATTGACCACAAATTATGGAGAGTAAACAAATTAGTTACCCGAGACCCGATTTCGAACCTGGTTAATCCACATTCAACAAAACCAGCTGGCGTCAGAGAAATGTGCCGCCCAGGGATAAATTATCGAAAACTACCCGGTTTCGAGAAAAGCTCACTTTCTAATTCCTTCATCTCTACGCTGTGACCGAAAACTCTCCAAACGTTTAGTTACTAAAATACTCAAATGCTAAATATTCGTGTATCTTTGCCATTACAAAGGTTTTTAACTTTATCTGTCCCCTGAATAGCTTTTACGTAATATTCCAATTTCATATTCAAGACCACTTCTGCCTTCTGCAGATTCAATGTGGAATATCTTAGAAATTTATTTTTTTAGGGGTTAAACACCTATCGAGGAGGTATGAAAAGCTTTACGAGTTTTTATTGAAGATTCCGTTTTACCATTCTGAAAAAATAACTATCACCCTATACCACATAAACACGAAGAACCACCGAGGCCAGATTTCATTTTACGAACAGAAAAGGAGTACCCATTTACAAAGAAAGATTCCAATTTCTCATAACAAAGAGTTCACCACCCACCTTGACACTTTCTTGTTTGTTGGAGCTGGTGCATATTTACAAACATTTTACCATGTTACTAATTGTATTTAGCCCAAAAATAACTTCTCATACATTGTTAAAAGTTAACCAAAACGAAAAGATTTAATATCCAGCATGTTATGACAGAAGTACTTTCTCGTTTATTTAGTTCTGCTGGTAGATAACCATACAATATTCAATTCAACACAAAATTTTTAAGAAAACTCGAATATTTTTCACAGAGGTGTGGGAAACGTTTTAGACAAAGTATGTTCGCCATTTGCGTAAAATGGGGGGTGTAACTTTTATATACAACTAATTTTTTATTGAAAAAAAGATGGTAGTTTAAGAAGAGTGTTCCAATTCCGAAAATAGGCATTTTTCTTGAGTTCTAAACAAAGGAATGGCAACAAAATGTTTAAATCAGAGATGAAATCAACCTAATCTTCTTCGTGCTCTTTTGCAAGAAATTAAACTACTAGATTTCATTGCCCTTGGTGTCAGTGGTTATGTTTTTGATAATATTAGCAATTTTTGCTTGTGTTCTTGGTTTTTTTAACCGTTGTTGATGTTGTGGACGAAGTTATTATTACGGTTGTTATTGTTGTACCTTTGGTAACTGCAGTAGTGATGCTGTCGGGTAGTGCTTGAAAGCTTGATGATATAATAATTGCCGATTATGGTGTTTGAGAAATAGATACCATATTTAATAATAATACGCAACAAACCCCTTTATACTATTATACTGAACATACCAATTAATAAGGTGGTGAAACCGAAGGTAAAAAGGAAACATACAATACAAACAGCAAAGTATAGTCGGTACCCTGTATCATAAAATTCACGTGCACGTAATAAGAATAAAAATAATAAGCACAGTCACAAAATCTATTTGTCACACAAAATTGACCCAGAAATTACAGTGTGAACCTTATTCATTTTAATAAACGTGAAAACAAGTGAAAATTGTGTGACTAACTGTTGCTATTGTGTGTGGTGGAAACCACAAAGAATCTTCATCCCCATAAATGGATAAATCTATTGTTTTGCGTATTAGCTGTCAAAGTTTGTTGTAGGAAAATTCGCCACAAATAATATGCCCCTGGAAAATTCGTGTCAGAATTATTCGAACCCGGATGTTTTTCACACGGACCTTTTGATGATTTTTTATGCGTAATAAATAAAAATATAGTCGTTGGTAATAAGTCAAAAATATCATTAATTGTTGTGATATTGAAATAGTACAGTGCAAAATACTGTTGAAAGTCATTTATTGACATAAAAAAGGGTCCCAAAACGTACGTTTTTGGTGCAAAAAGGGGGGGGGCTCACCATACACCCAGTGCTTGCTTCAAGAATCTCCCCCCCCCCCCCCCCCCCCCCCCACCATAATCCTATATCTGCCCCTGCTCCAATTTAGTAGTGCAGGCACACTCATGAACTTTTAAGCAAAGTCAAGGTTATGAAAATCAGGGAAACAGAAAACATTATAGCGGTTTTCTGGATGACCACTCTCTCTCCTTGCTCTTCCTATTTTACAAGGCGCATAAGCATTTAGTTACCAAATTTACCGTTTTTTGCCGTAGTATCGTTTCCATTTTAGAGAAAAAATCACGGTTTCCTAGAGTCAAGTCAAGTCATAAGGTTCTTTATCCGCGAAAGGAATGTTTAATTTTCAGACGCCTTTGGCACTTCATAAGTGGGTAAAAAACCAGTGACACACGAGTCAAGTACAAGAGATTATCTAAAACCGCTCAATGAGCAAGTATTAGTATTAAAGCCCGGTAGGCTGTCCGAAATGGGCTGTGATTGTTAATGTGAAATTATAAACTCATTACCTACGTGAAACAAATCGAAGCCGCTTAGGACGAGGTTTCCATAGAGTTAGTTATTTAGTTCAGCAATCAAAGTATTCTCCACTGGTGGATAATGTGCAATTTTTTCCACTTTTTGGATAAAAGCCTTTTTGACTCTTAAACTTTTTACTACCTCATAAGATACAACTCTGGCCACACCGTACATTGCTTTATTTTAATATAATACGAGTAAACGTATGGATTATCGCATATATTGTTGGAATTATCAATTTTTTGGGAACATGGTTTACATTTAATCTCCACAAAAAACATTTCCTCATAGCTATAATACCTTTAAACAGTTAAAAAAAAAGAATTTGGTTGAAAAGAATAATAGACCGTCCATTCAGTGGTTTGTTGCAATAGCAGTAGAAAAGTCGATACCTACAAAGTCCATCAGCTGTCAAATCACAGTTACTATCGAAACTTCTCATGGAGCTGAAAAACACCCGTTATAGTGGCATGCTTATGGCCTATTTGAAATCAAAGTACTCGGCACATCGCTGCTTTTTTTATTTCTACAAATGCTCAATTGGTCTCCATTACGGCTAGCTAGCGACCTGTTTCACTCATATAAAAAGTTGTTGGATTTTGTACAAGATTCATAGTTTTGTAAATAATGATCAGACTCACGAGAATCAAAAACCGCGTGGAACGTCGGAACACTATTTGCATTTCAACGCAAATAATATATCAATTCATGACACATAAACATACCAATTGTATGAACAATAGTAAAACCCGTTCCCATTGTGTTCCTTATTACCCGGGTACGATTGTAATTACTACGGACGGTGACAAATCGATAAATAATTGAAGAATGCGATCGCATATACTGTAATATCGTAGGAGCATTTAGCACAATCTAATCAAATGCAACGAAAGGGGAGACTTCTGTAAATGGAATTGCATGATTCCATTTTGCCCAATGTATAGGTGCATGGAACGTTGTAAAGTCATGTGCGATTGCCTTATTCATAGTGTACGCACGTTTTTCCCACCGAGAACATTTCTTCTAAATGTACAATTAGCACTATTTGCATATGACGTAACACATTTGCCTAAGGCTACAGGATTTTTTTTCCCGAAATCGTCATGAATCCTTCGATTTCATATGCCTAATACTTTATGCCAAGGAATTTTCGTTTCCGTGACAGTAAGTAGGTACCCGATTCTTTTCCTGCCTCCTGTCAATTTACCCGTTTTATATTATATGATTGGAAATTTTTTTATAATAAAAAAGACAATTTCAACAAAAATGTAATTCAAAATTTCAATAGTTTCTCGACTGGGTAATGTGTTATTTGCTTCGTTTGGCCCAACCTGTTCACCAGAACCAGGCACAAGTGAAACTGTGTGATTGAAACGTTTGCTACTTCGTATAGCGGAAAAATGCATTGTATCATCAAGAAGCCCCATAAAAAGGATAAATCTTCATTTCCATAACTGATTTGAAATTGTAATTTTTGCTAAGATTATTAATTATGAAAGTTATATATGTGTTTACTGTCTTGTCCTCCGTTTTTTTCACAAATAAAATATTTTCCGGCAATCGGCCAGATACATTAAAAGACCCAACCATTAAATTGATTTAGTATAACAGCATGGGATTAAAAATATCCGCTTTGAAAAATTGGGTAATTAGTTAATCTGGGTAACCAGTAGTTTAAGCTACCTTCAAATGTATTCTGCGCAAACCACTCGTTTTGTTTAAAAAATATGCCCTTAGGCAAGTATAATACTTACGATTCACTTTTAATTTCGGTTTTTTTGTTTAAGAACACTGCAAGAAGTACAATCACAACAACAGCGCACACGGTAGCCGCAATTAAACATATCATTCGACGGCGCTGCATTTTAATTTTGTTCCTTACACCGCGAGCGCTTTTCACTTCTGCAAATAAATAATACTTCCCAAGTTTCGCGATTTGCTAAACGTTTTTCATTTTTATCTTCGTATACTATTAATCTCGAGGTTATAGATTCGCATGAATAATTTATATAAAAACAAATAGTCCGTTATGGCGACGACGACAACAGCGCGCGGTCATTTAATTCACCTATAATGGCATTCCTTTCGGTTTGTCATTACGCTACGCATAAGTAATTGGCACAAATTGAATTTGACGTAATTCACCGGTCGAAATTTCCAAATCTTCAGTTCTTGCGGTTGGCTTTGTAGGCGAGTACGCGGTCTTAGGTGCGAATGAGATCGGTTTGCTGTTATCAATATTCTTCCGTGACCATATTTATCCCAGCCGGAAGGACGGCCACAATTTAGGTTAAACATTTACGTAACTTTATCCGTGTTAACGTCAATTACAATACAAAAAAAATAGGACATTCGCTTTATTAATTTTAAAGATCTAAATTTGGCCTGAACTCGGACCGACAATAACAATTTGAAGCGAAAGAAGCGAGAAGAATGGCATTGATCATCAAAATTAAATTCCTCGGCGACCCTTTGTAGGTCACTAGAACTAGGTTTAGGCATGGCATCATTCATTCGATACGAAAAGTGAAAGTGCGTCACCAAACATTGAGCGTTTTTTGTGTTCTTTGAAGCTATTACAGTAGTTTTGACCCACCACTAGTCTGGTGCAGGTGTCAGCCTTGTGTTATTTCTGAACATTTTTATGGTGAAATGCTGGGATAATAACTTTGAAGATACATTTCTTCAACTTCAACAGTTCCATGATGTCCACTGTACCAGGTGCCCAAATGTACCTAAGAGAACATACTGGAATCATGTTCAGTTTATTACGATTTCCGCTACTCCAAACAGCCCCGGTTATAAATGGGCTAACTCGGCTATAGCCCAGGGCGCTACTTTCTGGGGGTGCTAAATTATTTTTTTTTTTTCACTATTTGCAATTTAGATTTAGGCTTGTGGATAATTTTGTCAAAATAAATGTACTTATCATATCAATCAACGTTTGTAGTAAAAAGCTGTTTATTTTTGCCAGACATTCCCCTCCTCTGTGGTTCTTGATGCATTTTGTTTCAAAATTAATAAAAATAAATAACCCTATGAAGCTCGGTCACTATGCATACAATTTAAGTTTTAACTAAAACTAAAAACATAGCGCGGGGCCTGACTCCAAAACAAAGAAACGAATTTTGAAATGGAATAAAACCATGTTCTCGTAAAAATCAACAAATGTTCTTAGTCATTTTCCTCTACCTTGTACCTTAAAATAAAAGGCGGAGAGAGAAGAATGTGCTTCATGGATTTTCAGTAACCGTTTAAAATTGTTTAGCCTTCTCAAAACGAAAAAAATCATTTCTTGTTTTAATTAAAAGTAAAGCAATTTGTGATTAGTTAAAATGGAAGAACATTATAGCAATAGTATTTTTAGTTTACTTGATACTGGATACTTTGGCATATGCCTGGCGTAGCCGCCTCTCCCAGAGGGCACAAATTGTCTTATCTTTTGCAATAATCTTTGAGAATAAGTAAACCTTCGATATAATTGACCTGTGTATTCGAGTAGAGGAATTCACACATAAGTGGAGATATCTAAACCGTCGCGTCGGAAGCATGACCCATCTGTGTCTTAGTCTATTCAAGATGGCGGCCCCCGCTCTGAATATTTCGCATGCTAATGGAGTTTTGTCAAGTGGATATGTTAAAATGGTCTATAACAAATACAAAAATGTTCCAAAACCCACTCGTGGGTATTGCCGCGTAACACAAAGTATTGAAACGACGCATCGTCACCAAAAGCACACAAAATGTCGAATCTGCATATTGAAGCACGTCCACGTCCAGAGAGAGAGAGAGAGAGGAGTTAAATAAGTAAAATAAAGTTTCAAAGAAATATTACCATACATAAGAAAGTTGGCTATGAGCAGTCACTGCGTATGCCCACATAATTTTTACTATGTGCGAAATGTTTGCCTTTACTAGAAGCGCCTGTGGTTAAAATTTTAAAGAAATATCTCCATAAATAAGAAAGTTAGCCTTGCGCAGTCACTGCGCAGGCCCACATAATTTTTACTATGTGCGAAATGTTTGCCTTTACTAGAAGCGTCTGTGGTTAAAATTTCAAAGAAATATCCCCATAAACATCAAAGTTGGCATTGCGCAGTCTGCGCAAAATATGGAGTTAAATGAAACTGATCGAATTGGGCAAATATAGACCATAACAGCTATCAATTAGCGAAAACTCAAAGTCTCTAGGTGGCCCAGGGGCCGAGATCTCGATGGAACGGACGGACGGACGGACGGAAACACGAGCACATAAGCTTTACCTCAACTTCGTTGTGTTACGCTAAAAAATATAAATGAGTGAGCAGGGGAGTGAGACTAAGTTTGTGGGGAGGGTGAAAAGGGGCGAAAATCGTATGACGGCAATTTTCGACAAGAGTTGAGATCAGAGACAAAAGTGTTAATTGGAAAAGTTGTAGATCGTGAAAAACTCTACAACTTTCTTTCGGTCACTTTGTCACAAAATAACCGAAAAAATCAGGGAAAACCGTTTTTTTGTTTTTTATTGTTCATTTCTTTTTCTTTTTTTAAACGAGCGTTGGGTGATTTAAATAACTACACATTTTTTCAATAAAAAAATTAAGAGGTTTTCGAAATAATCGTTTTTTTTCGGAAAAAAACTTCTGGCTTCAATTGATAATAATTGTCCTTCAGAGATTTATCATAGGGATTACTTGGTGTCATTTTCTTTATTCATTAAATCTCTTCATTAAATTTTCTAGTAAATGTTGATAATTTGTTGAAATTTTGAAAATTTGTCAAAAACTTTCAGCATTCAATTCTACGGCAAAAAATACAAAAGAAACTATTATTTCTGTGTTGGAACAGACACTTTCTTTCTTTGTAGGTGTATAAATATTAATATTATAACATTTAGTCTCACTCAGCTTCATATGAATATGAAAAATAAGTCTTTTTTTGCGCATTTTTGAAAAATTTATTTGTAAAGAGGTAGCTTTTAATCTCACTTTGGCCGGCCGGCTGACTGACTGACTGTACGTGTACCTACCGGGGCTGTATAATTAACCACTTTAGGGATGGGATGTGAGGTAGGTCACATCTGGGCGCGATCAGCGAGCGTGGTTAACTAACGTGGTGATTTTTCGTTTTTTCTTATCTTCTTCTACAGTTTTGGTGCGATTTTTTTCAAACTGGTATCGTTGAAAACGCGCACACGTACGGAATTTGTTTTTTTTTTCGAGGGGCGAAATAAATCCCCTTTTGCATAGCGCGCGCCTTGAGAGGGATAATAGACTTCGGGCGCCCAAAAGTTACCGCCCGCTGCGAATTTTATCATGCAATTTAAAGTCTCGTAAAGTTCGAATAGCGGCCTCTCTTTCTCGTGTCGCCAATAGGAGCTATGAGAAGTGCCCCAAAAATTTAATACCATTTTGTGGAGGGAATTTAGCGAAATTCAGTAAACTGGCGCATTTATATGACTCTATGGGTCTCAGAAGTGGGTACCGACAAAGAGAATGTGGTAGCCCCCGACAAGATATTACTCATGGTGGAGTGAAAACTCCAAACGCGAAATGCGGGTGAACGGGACGTCGGAAGTGGGTACCAATACAAGGAATGTGGTTGCCTCCGACAATATCTTACTGATGGTGGTAGCAAATAGAATACCGATCTGCCACACAAAAATGCGCTGAAGTCCCTACGATCTCACACGAGAATTTCGATAATTTTTTTAATTCGAAATTAATAGTTCGCTTAGATTTCATAATTGTTGGTAGAAAATGGAATAAACAAATAACATCACTCTAATCTTGCCTTTTTCGTCATTTGTAGAACTGAATCTTCATCAGTCTTAAATTGTTCCCGTTCTTCAAGTATTTATTTTTTTTTTGTATTTGATATAGACCATTTTAACATATCTACTTGACAAAAGCTACATTAACAATTTTCTTTTTTTTCCTAAAAAATGGTTCCTTCAAAAGGGTTGTTGATATTTGACATAAACAATTTGACCCGATATTGTCATCACCTATATTTTCACTGGTAATAAAGACACTAACATTAAAGCTTTACTTCGTGAGTAAAAACCCAACGCTAAGCAGAAACCTCCTTTTCGTCTCCCATTTTAGCGCATTTTTTCTATTATATTCGTTATGGCTGGCTGGCTTGCTGTCCGGCTGAGATCTCAGCAATTACAATTCCTAGAGACTTTAAATTTTCACTAAAAGCTTTCTGTTATAATGTAGATGTGCAAGCTCTAGTCTATTTTTAGTTAGATTACTCGTGAGATCGATAATTTTAAACTTTGCTAATGAAATACTGATCTGCATTACCAAAACTGCGCTTTCATCATGCATAATGCTTGTTTGTAAAGGTGTTTGTGTTTACTCATAATACCTCGTATCGTTTTTTACGCTTCTAGTAAAGCGTTTCCGCGTATTTTTATGGTTATCCATTGTTGTAGTACATATCTCCGAGAGGTACCTATTTCACAACCAGTTTCATTACTCACGTGTGTACCTATTCAAAACGAATTGTTCCTTAGAGCATCGTGTCCATACCGCTTTCTATGAAACGTTACACTTGAATCGATCATGAAACAAGCCACAACTTTTCAACTATGGTTCGTGTTCTGTCTGTCGGTTTTTTTTGAAAAACACAATACTTGATGCGCTGTGCCTCTTTTTATAATATGCCTTTAATTTCATATTACGTACCTTCGTAATTTTGATATCTACTTGCGCAGTTGGTATAGTAAACTAATAATTGTTCGTAACATGGTACCTACTCTGAGCGTATTAGGTATAGGTACACATAAACGTACATATTTGGAAACTGATATAATTACTTATGTTGTAAGTGTTTTTGATCATATCTACGCCGCGTCGCGCCGATTTATAGGTATTTTATTACTTTCTGCTATAAGTATGACTGATGACTCAAGATGTAGAGATGGACATAACGTAAAAACCCTCAAAATTAACACCCTGAACACTATACCCACGATCTGATGTGACTTCCCATATAAAGTAAGCTCCCTTCGCTTTAAATAAATGAACAAAACAATATTATTTGCAAAACTGGAGGATGAACCAATAATATACTCACACGTTAGGCCCCACAGTTGTCAAGTTAAATATTCCCACACATAAAAACACAGTTACAAAGACGTTCATTACTTGCGATTTCACTTGAACAGATTAAGATACCGTGTAGTACTCAGTGAAACAAAATTTCCCGCTCGCTTTAACTGACGAAACATGCCATAAAGTTTTACAGTGCAATTTGAAGGTCAACTAAACTTGTAATTGAAGCGAAATTCCACACAAAGATGCACGAAGAAGATTTCACTCATACCTGTGCTCGTAATTATGTGTAAAATTTCCCCATTTGCTTTAGGTACCATGACCGGTTCTCACGTCCCACGTTTTTTGACATAATTGTGGATACGGTTCAATTCTTCTACATCACCAACGGGTTGGGTTTTTCAATGGACGTTATCGTATTATTTTGGATTCACTAATCATGCAAATATAGTTTAAGCTTAGGTGCCTAATTAAATTTAAAAACGTACAGATATCAATATCATCAGTGTTGCCAATAATAATCCTCATAAGTTTAGAGATAAATTGGAGAGTCCTTTGATTGTGATTTTCTGTCACTTGACCTTTCCATCTTTACCAAGTAGAGACTTTGCATCTTCTGTTCTTACATTTATTTCAAGCTTATTGGTACTTCATCAAATAAATTAATAGTCCCAGTATGGGTTTGCACAACATTCTACTTTGCCCACAACGGCTAGCTGGAGCTGAGCCAGCCCAACCATAAACTCTATTGTCACATGTCACTCCACGTACCTAATAACGACGCAAAAATTCTGGTGAGATGAAGAATTTCAGGAAATGATAATCTTTGGAAAAAACATTTATAGGTATTGTTCATATCAATCAGGTAGGTATTTATCGTTTATTGCCAGAATCGCGATTAAAGTTAGTTTCACCTGATACCACGAAAAAAGTGAGCTAAAGGCAGATAACAGTATTTTTATGGTATAAAACAGTTTAAAACATAAGATGCTCTGAAACACCATCAGAGTCTTTAGATAAAATGACGGCGTTACGATTTCTTACGCTGTTTCTCTATTTTAGTGTGTTTTGTCATTGGGGTAAGTTTACTTTCTTTTATACAGAAATATTCCATTACTATTTATGCTCACTAGTAATAACCTAAACCTTTACTTTTCACTTTTATTATTATTACTTATTATTTATTACTTATTCTAATTATATATTATTAGTGAGTATAAATACGCATTGACACATTCTCAAATATTCACTTCTCAGATTATGCTTTGAAGTCGATAAAGTTGGCACTCCCACTTTTCCCAGATCAAGTAAAAATATGCCTATAATTTAGTACTAATTAAAGACAAATTTGTACCCCATTAGATTTTCATTGTTTATTTATACATTATTTAAACAATTTTTTACTAAAAAAGGGCAATTCTCAGAATTAATAATAATAACTCAAAAGTATAGATTAAAGACTAATTTGTAACCATAACATTAGAATTTGTACCCACTTCCGTTCCGCCGGAAAACTGATACTAAGCTTTGAATATAATATTTATATTCAAAGTCCTAAGGTAACAAGCATTTAAAGGCCGCCTGGCATAAATTCAAACTATACGCAATAAAATGAAAGAAGATTCAAGCCCGTAGAAAAATTCTCCGCAATCTTGCATTTTCCTTCCGTCGACACTCCATTTTCGAGATATTCACCCTTCTCCTACGCTCAGTTCTGCAGATATTGGAACTGAAAGTTTTAACATCACTAGTAGATGTGTGAAAGACAAAATAAATTTCTAACCCCCCCCCCCTCACCCCGTCACTCACTCATCTTAAAAAGGGGTTGCGGATGAAATTTATAGTTTGTAGAAAGCAATTCCTTTCGATGAGACGATTGATTAGAAAACCATGCACGTGTGTTTACACGTTACAATTTCCTCGTGGGTACAAACGATACATTACTTTGTAATTATCCCTGATAATTTATAACACGAGAGGGAGCTTAATTAGTCCAGTCAATTTAGATCAAAAATGGGCAATCAGAGGAACTAAAAATACTAGTTCCAATTTTTTCAGAAATGTGTAGGGAGAGGTTCCCTGAACAAGAAAAAATAAAGTCCCTTCAAATCCCGATGCCGCTGGGGGAAGGGGGGGGGGGGCTTTAAACGATCCATTTTCCAGTGAAAAAGTTCTTCACTACAAAATGAAAGCTTATTAAATTTGCTACAAGTTTGGTTATATACATCTTTACGGAAAACTGAACCGTTTTCGTGCTACCGGCTCCGGAAAGATGGTAATTTCTAAACAAAATTGTTTTTCACTTCCGTTTTTCGTATATTTTGGCTTCTAAATCCTCCCTCGTTCATTTTAGGGGAAAAGCATTAACATCCCTATAGTCTTCCTCCAAACTCAAATTTGGCTGGGTAATACCACCATCGACCCACAAGCATGGGGTTGGGTTAGGGATGAAGATGGAATCCTCACCCCAGTCAAGTCCTCCGAACCTCTTGCGCCAAATCACATTTTAATTTCAATATTCTGCCGCTGTGCTACGGGATGCAACAACAGGTGTGGTTGTAGGAAGGCAGGCATCCACTGCTCTCGTGTTTGTGGATGGGTAGGTGACTGCCTAAACCGTCCGCCTATCCTTGAGGAAGATATCGACCAGGATATTGACGACGAGATCCTTCAAGCAGATTACTCATTGTGAACATTTTTGTATACAATAAAATTGAATTCTTTTGAAGTTAATGATGTACAGGTTTTATTGTGACGATTTTCCCCTAAAATGAACGGGGGAGGATTTAGAAGCGAAAAAATACGAAAAACGTGAATGAAAAACAATTTTGTTTAGAAATTACCACCTTTCCGGAGCCGGTAGCACGAACACGGTGCAGTTTTTCGTAAAGATGCGTATATAACCGAACTTGTAGCAAATTTAATAAGCTTTCATTTTGTACTGAAGAACTTTTTCACTGTAACGCACCATTTTCGAGTTAAAAGCGAAAAACTGAAAAATGGGTCGTTTAAAGCCCCCCTTCCTCCAGCGGCATCGGGATTTGGAGGGATTTTATTTTTTCTTATTCAGGGAACCTCTCCCTACACATTTAAAAAAAAATTGGAACTAGTATTTTTAGTTCCTCTGATTTTCCTGTTGTGACTGGACTAAATACTTACTCGAAGCACAACTCGATGATTAACCTTTTATGGCCTCTCGATGTCTATTGGAATTTCTAGAATATTCGCTACAATACACATAAAAAATATAATAAAAATGATAAAAACAACATTTAATATTAAACACATTAAAGCTCTTCAAAATTAAATGCTCATTTTTTAATTGGAAGTTGTCCTGCATTTTTTCTTAAACTGGATTTTTATAACAGTATTTTATACGTATAATACTGGTAATAGATAGGCGATGGAGTGGGATGTGGAGATTCAGTCTTCTAGATTCATATTTGTGGGTTAACTCATTTAATAAGTTACGAGGATGTTTTTGTTCCAAAATTTAATATATAAACCGAGAGATAACGACAGATTTTGTGCGATGATTTCTCTTTACATAGGCTAGAACTAGCGTGTAAGTGTATCATATGTCTATTGAGCGGTCCACTTTTTTTTGTAATTTTTTTAATTTTGGCAACAAGACAAACAGAAGTTTATTAATAACGTGTACTAACTGTATTGTTCCAAAAATTTCTGGGAAAAGTTTGATTGGCAGACGTCTTTCAATACGAAATCAAATATGTGTTAATTAAATGTATTTATGCATCACGGGCATTAAGGCGATATTTATGCCGAGGGCGGCAGATCGCGAAGGCCTCCGGTTCGAGGGATTGTAACCCGCCCGAGTAATGCCTGAGGTGCATACAACATTTTATTTTTCATAATTCCAAATAATGTGCTTCTATAATATACAAATGTAATGATTATTGTTTGCACAACAAAAAGTGCTTCATACGAATCAAGTAGCATCTTTTTTAATTATTAACCCTATCAATAGTTTGACAGGACGTCTGGATGCATAATGACATAACAGTGCATTAACAGTTCATTACGCTCTAGGATATCATGGTCTGCTTTATATATCTCATAAGACAGATGTAATTGGCATATAATAGCCAAATGAAAAATAAATAGCTATAATGGCAGACGTTCATAATAAACTTTTGTTTGTTGTGTTCTCAAAGTGTGAAGAATTACGTAAAAATAGAACGGACTGCTCAACAGCTTTGTCTACTTTCTTTAAAATGCGTATATTTGGTAACATAATAGTACTAAGTTTTACTATTAAATTGTAGCAATGATCTTTCCATGTGAGTTTGTTCTTAACCTTGTAACCCAAAAATCCGATACAACTGAATGCCTACCGAACGATCTCCACATCTTCACGCATCCATCATTTTTACAATAACTTTTTGGTCCAATAGTATACGTCGATACGTCGATGAAAAACAATAGCGACCTTTCTTATACAATACAAAATTATAAACGTTACTGATTTAGCAGAGTGCGTTCTTTCGACCTCGATATATTCCCCCCCAACATGCGCCCCTCAGACGACGTCCTAACAATACAATTTGTTTACAAAAAATGTTTGTATGTACAAATTAGTCCTTATTATACGTTGCCTTTCTTCTTACTAATTTCGAGAATTATCCATTTTCAGAAAAAAAATTGTTTAAATAATGGATAAATTATTTAAACAATGAAAATCTAATTTGGGTACAAATTAGTCTTTAATTAGTCCTAAATTATAGGCATATTTTTACTTGATTTGGGCTAAGTGCGGGTGCCAGGTATGCGAGATGAAATATTCTGCTTCTTGTTTCAAAAATATGGTTCATTACAGGGTTAAGCGTAAGAATTATTGGAGGACGTCCTGGTTACCTCCCTTACCAGGTATGTACGTAAAGTTTCGGTGGACAATATTGCACGGTACAGTATACGAAGGGAGTTATGCCATCTACCTAGCTATGAAAAGAAATTTTATTTTTTAATAAGGCTTTGGAGCATTAACACTTCCACCCCATAGTTTTTTTTAATAACGCTGTGCTTTCGAAACAAATCTTGTGATCATTACGCAAATACTACTCCACAGCATTTTCCAACAATATGATGCTTCATTCTTCAATTTTACAATCACACATTATTATGCGCCTTTAAACCTCAACTCAACTTAAAGCATTATTGGAACTCATTGTAACGTCAACACAGGAAAACATTCTTTCAAGTGCAATACGGTATATTATAGCATAAGTAGTTCCAAAAGCCTTGAAAAAGTTACGAAAAGTCATTATAGAAAGCTAGATAAATGTGCACTGTTGTATGTAGCTATATTATAAAACCTTCCGTATGAAGATATCCAGCTCACTCTGACCTTTTAGGCTAGCTTAAGATTGAGGACCGGTTCTAATCATTTTTGTGGTGGTACAATAATAGGTCCATTCTACATATTAACAGCAGGGCACTGTATCGTTATACAAATCGCCTCGAGAGCCGCCATGCTTAATCCGCGCGCCATATTCGTGGTAGTGGGGCAAACGGAACTGGAGATGATGACAAACAGTACAAAGCGAAATGTCGCTAAAATTGTTGTTCATAAGGATTTCCATCCGGGGGCTGCGGAAAATGATATCGCCTTGTTGAGGGTAGGTACCCTTAAACATAAGGGGGTAGTGGTACAGCATTAGACATTACAGCTAAACTCAGAGTTGCCATTAAGTCCAGAAATGCCGATAAACGCGATTCCATTAAATACTGATCATCTAAAGGCCGGTGAGACTTGTGTTGCTTCAGGATGGGGATCCATACAACCGGTAAGATATACAAGGAAGTGGGATTTCATTGACTTATTTTTTCTAGTCTCCTACAAAACTAAACCATGAATTGCATTTGGTTGACGTACACGTTTTTACTTTGAATAAGTGCTCATCGATGTATAGAGTAGCAGGTGTTACGCTACACCCTGGGATGTTGTGCGCCGGATCGTATGCTGGGGGCAAAGACGCTTGCCAGGTATTTTACACAAGTTAAACAAGTTAAAAAGTAATCGTAAACGATTTACATAAAGCGCATTTCCACTTGCATTCATTTCCCATTTGTAAGATGCAACTTCTGTTAAAATCTTAAAAATCCGGCCACAAATATGAAAGATAGCGTTGCACATGGGCAATCCATTTTTGACGTGCTACTTCAATTTCAGTTTATGAGAAGAATTTCATTTCAATGCTTTTCTAAATAAAAAAGTTGGAACTGCGCATGCGCAAACCTAAATTTTAAAACTAATGTTAGATTTTCCTTTGTTCCAAGCGCCTAAGTATCAAATTTCACTTAAATGGTTCCATAGATAAAAAAGTTGGCACTGCGCATGCGCAAAATAAAATTTTGAAACTGGCGCTAGATTTTCCTTTATTCCAAGTACTTATGTATCACATTTCATTTAAATTCTTCCATAAATAAAAAATTTGGCACTGTGCATGCGCAAAGCCAAATTTTGAAACTGACGTTTGATTTTCCTTTATCCCAAGTGCCTATGTATAAAATTTCGTTTAAATTCTTCCACAAATAAAAAAGTTGGCACTGCGCATGCGCAAAACCAAATTTTGAAATTGGCGTTTGATTTTCCTTTATTCCAAGTGCATATGTATCAAATTTCATGCAAATACTTTTATAAGTAAAACAGTTTGCAATTCGGTTTATAAATGGTCGAGATGCGAAAAGGGCACTGTGAATTTTGAATCGATTCGATTCAACTTTTTGCATTGCGTATTATATGGCTAAAGCTATGCCCATATTGAATTTCATGCAATTCAGTTCATAACTAACGGAGATGTAAAAGCGATCGAACATTTCTAAACAAAATTATCGTTCACACGGACAGATAGATGGACAGACAGACAAAGGAACAGACGGAGAGACCAACCGGCAGGCGACAGATAGCAATGCAAAATTATTAACGATCTCTAGGATCGTTAATAAACGGCAAAAGTGTAAAATTATGGAACATGTAAAAAACGGTTTTTTGTTTTTTTTTACAATAACTTTTTTTGTAAGCGGTACAGAAAAAATTCCTTCCTTGGTACAAGACTCGACACCATAACGAACCAAATAGCGAAAAAGTAGAACAATAGCTCTTAAGATAAAGAACTAGTAGCGTCGCAAAACGAGCGGACGGACGGACGGACGGACGGACAAAGTGGCCACAATAGCGCATTTTTTTTTTATTTTTGTGGAAATGCGCTAAAAATAGAATACAGTAAATTGCTTGTAGGGTGATTCCGGAGGGCCACTGGTTTGTAGCGGAAAATTAGTGGGGATCATTTCCAGTGGACTGAGCTGCGCGGATGCCGACTTTCCCGGGGTGTACACCGATATTGTGTTCTACAGAGATTGGATTCAAGATGCAATGAGGACATTGGATAAAAATTAGAGTTCGTACACCTATCTATTCATATTCTTTTTTGGATGATTGTTAAAGTCTTAGCTATACCTATACAACCTATTTTTATGAGCCCTTTTAAACAACTAGGAATAAGAAATGAAGTGGATAAGAAAAAGCAAGACATTAAACTGTAAAAGGAGATTGTTTTGGTCAAAGCCAGAATGTAAGAAACTACCTGGTTACTGTTAGATTTCGATTCACATTATATGTATACCTACCTCAAACATAATATTATGTACCTAAATATTGTATATATGTAGCGCCGTCGGCGTCGCCTAGATAATAAAAATAAATAAATTGTATTTGTTAACCGAAAGTGTGTCTGTTTTTATTATCCTTTTATAGAAGAATATCTGTAATTTTGTAACAGGATATTGAATCCAGTAATAGATGATTGTTTTCAGTTTTTAGCGGATATAGAAAAAATTTCGAAGACACTGGATGGTACAGACACTATCACTGAAAATGTAGCTAAAGTTAAAGCTAAATTGGATGGTTGGCTTTAAGTGCACCCAAAAGAACCCAAAACTGCACAGTAGCTGTAGGATTCAAGTATGTATGCAGATACTGCAAAAAAATTGCGAGCCTATGGCATGAGGTAATAGAAGAATCGACGATAGTTACGTAGGCTGTTTATTACAAGCGTGATTTCTCGAGAGATTCGCTCCAATGATAAATTGCATAGAGCATAGCGATGTAACTATACAGATTAGATTAAGGCAAGTTACAAGATATGCAAGAAGAACGCAGCAGTTCCGGAAAAAGAGGAAACTCTCTTGGGGCTAAATTCCAATTTAAGCAACCACAATCGAAATGACGGTACCGATTCAAAATGTGAAAAAGATGTCCCTAAATGTGTGTTTTCGGTGCAAGAAAGATCGGCATTACATGAACAAGTGTGCTAATAAACAAGTCGATAAAGTTAGCACCCCCACTTTGCCAAAATCAAGTAAAAATATGCCTATAATTTAGGACTATTAAACACTAATTTGTACCCACAAAATTAAAATTTGTACCCGCTTAGTTCTGCTGGAAAAACGATTTTTCCCCACTTTTCCCGATTTAAATTTTATTAGTAGTCGCATTAAAAACTATGAATTAAAGACTAGTTTGTACTCAAATTAGATTTTCCTTATTTAAACAATTTATACATTATTTAAAAATTTTTTTACTAAGAATTAATAAAAATAAATGGAACGTATAAATTAAAGACTAATTTGTACCCACAGCATTAGAATGTGTACTCGCTTAGTTTCGCCGGAAACCCGATTCTAAGGTGGGGTCTAGCACCCCCACTTTTTCCGATTTTTCCGATTTTCGTTGTTTAAACAATTTATACATTATTTAAACAATTTTTTTCTAAAAAAAGGAAATGCAACATATAAATTAAGGACTAAACACAAACATTTTTTTGTAAACAAATTATATTGTTAGGAAGTCGTCTGAGCCAGGGCGCAAGTTGGGAGGGAATATTGGGTTCGAAAGAATGCACTCTGCTAAATTAGTAACGATCCTCGAGATTGTTCATAATTGTGTATTGCTGTCTGCATATCTATCGGTTTGTCTGTCTGTGCACGTGCACAATAACAATAACCGTTTAGAAACGCCTGATTGCTTTGAAAATTAGTAAGCACCGTCTTAAGAATATTAGAGAGGCGCTATTGTTTTTCAGCGACGTAGTCTATTGGGCGCTCGAATATGAATGGTTTTTTTAAAATTCTTTTTTAATAGATTTACATTATAACTCTATCAATACATTTGACAGTCTAAGGGCATAATGAGATGACAGTCCATTAAGTCCTAGGACACCATGGACTGCCTTATATATCTCATAATATGACAGATATAATTGGCATATAAGAAGAGCTTACATGTGCTTAATGTTAAATGTTGTGTTTGTCACTTTATCTTTGTTTATGGGTATTGTAGGGAATATTCTAGAAATCCCGATAGACATTGAGGGACCATAAAAGATTAGTAATAGGCATAGCAAGCGGATGTGACTCATTTTCTTCCGGGAAATATGGCGTGTTTGTTTGTTCGAGAACATTCGATAATATTGTGAAGCATTTGGAAACGTTCGAGAACTCTCGAAAAAGACCGGCGTTTGCTATATAACCAAATCGAATTATGTCTCGAACTTACGAGTCAGTTCTAACTTCGATTCGAAGTGAAGTATTAAGTTCCCTCTCGTATATTATGTAAATTGTAGGTGATAAATAATAAGACTTGAATATTTCCATTTAATGCTATTACAAAGTAAGTAAGACTGTTATAAATTGTATTGTTTGTACCCACGAGGAAACTGTAAGGTGTAACCCCACACGTGCATGGTTTTCTCATCAAACTTCTTATCGAAAGGAAATGGTTCTACAAACTATAACTTTCATCTGCGACTCCTTTTTAAGATGAGTAGGTGACCGGGTGAGGGGGTGGGGGTTAGAAATTTATTTTATCTTTCACGGTATTCTAATGAAGTGTCTCAAGCAAGGAATTAGTTGCTACCGGCCACTGTCCTCCTCGACTCTTTAACGTGATTCGTTCTAATATCTCTAGAGCGAAGGGTTGTAGGAGGGTAACCACAAAGGCCGATTGGTACATTTGGAAGAAATATATCCATTAGTGGTGTCAAATCTTTTAAGAGCGAATATCTCGAAAAGTGCCAGAAGACTTATTTAGTGTGTATATCTCGAAAACGGCTTTTGTAGTGGTGTTGGTTTCGATGTACCTGCCGCACGGCCTCCTGGCGGCCTTGGGTAGAGGTTGTTGGGTTCTCCTTCGCCACAATGTTATAATTAAACTCGTGGAGGAGAAGATCCCGGCGGGTGAGCTTATTCCGGTAATTAGAAACTCTTATTAACGCCGCGAGTACGAACATATATCAATTTAGAACTTTGAGTTGGCGAGGATGGTGAACGTAGTTTGAATGTTAAGAGATCCGAGTGATACTTTCTTTTTTGTCAACATTTTTTGGAGTCTGTCCATACTTCATAAAGGAGCTACAATTACTGAAAACCTTACTGTAGGGTAAAGTATTCAAAACACATGAGTCTTTGGATATCTAGGACGTTGTTAAATAATCTGGACTAGAGTTACTCTAATTTTAATTTTTGTGTCCCGTAGACCCAGCTAGCCCTAAATTTTTTACATCCTTTACGTATTACGCTTAAGCAGTTCGTACTCGCGCAGTTAGTATAATAAACCAGGTGATGGTAATCGTACACGACGGTCAAGTGGAATTACCCCATTATTTCCCATTCCCGTTATTGACATGTCTGAGATTCAGTATATAAATTAAGCTACATAATTTCAGTTTATAAGTATTTCTAGACCGAAATAGCGATTATTATAGGAATTGGTCCCTACTAGCTACTGATAGTATCAGCACTCCTTGTGCATAACTCGTTATCTGTAGGTACAAATTGGGAAACTGATATGTTGTAAGTGTTTTTCATAAAATTGATAATATCTAACGGAGATTTATCTCGACTCCTTGTCATAACTATGCCCGATGATGGACATCACAGGAATACATTGCTGAATTAACAACCCTAAACACTATACGCACGATTTGATATGTACCCATACCTATAACGACACAAACATTTCGGTGATTAAGTAATTCGGAAAATGATAATCAGGGGGAACACAATTATAGGTATCCTTTATATCAATGAAGTAGGTACTTAGTTTATTGACAGAGTTGCGATTAATGTTATTTACACCTATGTCACGAAGCAAGATAAAATTAGATAAAGGTATTTTTGTGGTGTAAAGCAGATAAGATGTTCCAAACACCATTACTCTCTTCAAAAAAACTGATAGCATTACGATTTCTGAACCTATTTCTATGCCTTAGTGTGTTTTAAAAACATGGATCTTTACAGGGATTGTTGGAGGTTTGCCCGGTTGGGTTGCTTACCAGGTATGCAAATTGCAAGTACTATTACGGTAGACAATATCATACGGTGCCGTATACGGAGGGAGTTTTTTTTTTAATAAAAAGATCAGTAATCATTGTAACGTCAAGCACGGGAAAAAACCTTTATTCCCTACAATCTATAATATTAATGATTTTACCAGACTGGACATGTTGCCTAGCAACATCAAACCGACATATATCTACACGTACCTATACAGGGTGTTCATTTGAAATCTTTCCACCACGGATTTATCGAAAACCAATGATTAATGGAAAAAACGCCGAGAAAAATTAGAAAAAACCTTTATTTAATTTATATGTATATATTTATATAACTAGGTTCCGGTTGGATGAATGAATCTAATTTTTTTGAAGACTAATGATAGATACTCTTAATGACTTGACGGTGTTTCTTTTTTAAATTTTTTCTCTCATTATAAGATACCGTATCATAATAAGATAATCTTATAGTTAGTGAAAAAATCTCTAAAATAAATTTGTCTCCAAAATTGGATAGCGTATGCCCACGAATATAAAATAGTCTCCAAATATCCAAAATTATTGATTACGTGACTCACAACAGCTCTATCTTAGTAAATTAAATGTTCAATTAAAATTCCCTAATTAACCAACTCCTCAGTCGAGAATGATCGATTAGTAATTTTATTAATTGAGTATATCAATAACAAACAAGTTCCCAAAAACAAAATGAAATACGATCGATAATTGCTTCGATAATGAAAGCACAAGTATTCACATGTAATCTTACCTTGAATAAACTGGATCCCTGTAGATAGCTCTCCTGTAGGGAGTCCCCCACCAAGAGTTGGAACTTCCCTGGACGACTTGCTAACTCATCGGAAGGAAGCCCCAAATTTCCTCGGAACCGCTTCAGTATAGAAGTAAATTCCAGGGGGTGCGGACTGAAGTACCTGCGGTTAATCTAAATTAATGTTATGAGTCAACTAAACTCCACATCTAAACAATTTGAGTAAAAGATAATTGCTGTACGCACAACCCCTCGAGTTAAGCAGTTTGTGAGATAATAGAGTTCACATGGACGTGCATTGCGAAACTCTGCCAGTTGTACAGAGCTACCGGAAACTCGAATATAGTTGGATGTATTGGGGGACAGATAGAGATCACACTCTGGATGTTGTGAATTTTAAACGTTAAAAGAACGTCTTTAGGGTTGTGAGAAAAGTCTTGAAAGGGTGACACAAGGCTGAAGAACGATTTAACTGGCTGACAATTACCTATGAAGCTTGAGCCGCCCTCCCCACTATCCCATAATAATCCACATTTATATTTACATTTATTTTATAATATCCCATTTATGGCTGTCATTTTTCAATTTAAGTGTCTTATTAAAACCCACATATGACTGTTGCATTGTGGGGGAAATTGTTAAAATTGTTTAGATCATTTGTTAAAAATATGTAATTATAAGCCCGTCAAAGTTCAGTTTCAATCTCTAATAACTCATTTTATCCCAGAAGATGGCGAATAGTCGAAATTTGTCGCTTTACATTAGTGATACAAATTATTTTACTAAAAAACATGTGAGGGGTTTAGAGTTTTCATACATTACAAAGGGATGCATTATTTTCTGACCATTTTTAAATTAAAACCGTACTCGCCTTGTCAACAAACTCTGGATTACGGGCACTCAAAGCAAACAACATTAACTGCCATATCAAGTGAAGCACTTTCCATATTAGTCGGCTGTACTGTGTGGCCTGGATTGTGGTTCTTCCATAGTTTACTAACAGTGATGCGTTATCCAAACCTCATGCCAAGATTTTTGATCGTCAGCGTCTCTTGTCGGTGGCTGTGAAATAATAAAACGATTGGTGTAATCAGTTCAAAATGAAATTATATTACCTGTCGCAACGTTATTTTGATCAACTATCAACTGGAACCAAGGGACCGATTTCTTGAGAAAGCCTTAAATACATTCTAGACTTCCTTGAATTTGAGGTATAAACAATATTGGGAGATCTTTGGTTGTCGGTGTTTGTTTGTGGTGGCTATCAAACAATAATGTTGCAATTAATGAATTCAAATGAAAATTTTATGGGTTGTACCAACCTCCGTTATTCAGATTCATTGCTACTGGTCTTGATCAATACGCCAGTTCATTGGAATGTGACGACCCTTACTAAAGAAATGATTTTTAGACCTTTTTGAATTTGAGATACAAAACTGCATACTCGGCAGAACATGAAATATTTTTCAAAATCGTTCTTATGTATCTTTTTGCCAGAAATGCATTTTGTCGTCATTCGCCCATTAGCCAATCTAGGTTAAAGTATAAAAAACTTATTGTTTTGAAATTTGGATATGTTCAAGGGGAAGGTCCAAAGAACATTTTGAACAAATATCAAAACTACAAGTTTTTTTTTTAATTTGTCGGTTTTGGTAGTTGATTGACTGGGATACATACACAATATTATGTTCAATTGCAAAGTAGAAACAATTAACGGAGGATTTCACGACCGTGTACAAAAAAAAATACGTCTGCACCTGCAACTGTAAGGCAAGCGGCTAGTAAAAAATATCTATTCAGTTACTCAGTCCCACCTCAGTTGGTCAGAACCAAGAAACTGGTCGCCTCAGAACGAGAGATACCAATTGACTCTCTAGATACCTGCGATTGAAAGTTAAAACTATGAATTAAACCTAGCGTCTCAGGTCAAAAGAATAATTAGCTTGAGCACAAGTCCTAAAGTTTTTGGTATTACAGTCAAATCGTGCAACTCTCGGCTAGCTCACACCACTGTGTAAAAGGTACAGTGGCTAGAACTACCCAGGACTCACCACGAGGAGGTGGTTGCAGGTCGAGTCCCGCACCATGCCCGCCCATCCACCCAACCTATCGGAGCACGGTCTCTAACGAAGCGATTTAAATTTTGTCCATATCATCTTATGCCGAAAAATCAGTGTTAGAGTTAAATTGTTTTGGAGTTGTACTCAATCTAAGAAGTTCAGCTGGACTTTGGGACGTTAAACCTAAATTGACGCATCAGCAGGCATTTTAAATTTTTTTTGCAAAATATTGAAGTTCAAGGCAGTTGCGTAAAGTGAAGGTTTAACATCACAAAAGTAATTAAAAGTAGATACAAGTACTTACATCACGAAGCTTTCTTGAAAAAAGCTCGATGTCCTAGTGAGAAATAAAAGAATAACAAGAGAAAGTTCAGCTCATACGAAAGTATAGAATGTAACAAGCGTTTAAAATAAAATATTATAAGAGACAGTGTTTAGAATTATACACAGTTTTAAAGAGTATTATAGAGATTCGTTTGTAGAATATCAGAGAATAAATCAACTTATAAAGAATGTAAACAATAGACTAGACAATTCATAAAAAATCTTTCAGAATATAAAGCATATTATAGAGAATACAAAGCGTTTCAATTCGATTAATTATAGAATATCTTTCAGAGTATAAATCAGCATCTTATAGAGAGAATAGATAGACGTTTAGTAACTTCTAGAATATCTTTCAGAGTATATTATCTTATTATCACCTTTTGTGTTTGCTTTCTTATTTTGCTTTCTGTCGCGTTACCCGATGAAGAGTCCTCTCCTACAGAGTTGTTTCAGTTGATAGTTCTTAATTTTGGATTTCAGTAGAACAGTAAGAAGACATTTGTACCGATTTGGTACGAAATTAAAGTGTAATGTATTACCTCTTACCTTAAAATAATAGAAAAGGAGAAAAATAGAGTAGGTGATGAATATCACAAGACGAGGGAAAGGTGTATGGGGAGTCGGTGTTTATGGATCTTTTTACATAGTGCATGGTATTATTTCTTGAACCTGTGAGATGAGTCGAAGAGAAGGACATTGCTTTCCGAAAATGAGACGGTTGGGACCGAGTATGATTAGTGTCAATTTGTAGCTAGCAAAGTCAACTAGAAAGAGATGCACATAACAATGGATTGTTATCCGTCGGTATAATGGGCGATGATAAAAATGTGGTACCCTTCACTATTTTTATCACATTTTTTTAATACTTTGCGCTTTGTGTAAATTTACCTGATGCATAATTACCAACATCATCCTTAACCTTGTCTCAAGAGTTTAACCTGTTCTATCAAAGATGAACCTACGTAATCTGGAATAATACCTACAGACACTTTAGTGCTGTACGCCCCTAGAAAGTGTTTGGAACTACCACATTTGTCTACTTTAAAGTGATGTTGATGCCCACCCGGCCACCCCTACTAATTTGTGCACAGTTTATTCCCCACAGTTATATAGCAAATTTAATTTTTTGACGCACCTGCCAGCACGCAAAATCTTTCGAACGCCTTAAAGATTCCATAAACGTAAAATAATATTAAAAGACCTTCTAAAGGGTCCATACCAGTCGCTATAAAATGTAAGTGTAAATTAACGGTTTAGTAACAGAGCAGTTTTTATCCGATCATTTGTTTTACTCTGACTTCTATGAGTGAATACTAAAATCTTAAATAAAACTATCATGTATGCACCCATGACAACCATTCCTACGTAATTAGTTGACAATCTCGCACCCATAAAAAATATGATCGAACAAAAACAGTAAGAACGTTATGGGCGATTTTTCAAAAATATAGGTAAATATTGTCATCGACCTTACCGTCCTTCCTACTTTAAAAGACTGCGTTAGTGCACGGAAAAGTCCCCTTTTAATTGGATCATACCGTATTTAAAAGTGGCACCTAACTAGAAATAGATGTTACCTCATTCCATTCAACCATTAAAAACCATTTGGTGCTTGCATGCAAACCAACTCATTTTCAATTAAATAATCAGTTATCTGCTTACCTTTACTAATACTTACTACATGAGATATTATTGAGAACTATCAAAATCAACCAGATTGGTGTAGGAATTACACACAAAAAGCAGATTACTTAGTATGCTTAGGCATAAGTATGAATTCATACCTACACCCACTACCGGTAAAGTGCTTTTTTTCAAGCTGATTAATTTGGTAGCTCACTGTTATCGCATCTAGCAGTATAATACCTATACCAAAAAGTCTTTTGTCGTTCATCTTCTAGCACTTTGTCACTAATCACTTACATGTTAATATATCACCCATGCACATCCCAGGAAAGAGAAAAGCACTTACCGAAACTTGGCGTTCATCTGTCTCCTGAAACAAAACACAAATTTTAGTGAATAATACTAACTGGGGGGTGCTAATTTGCTTTTTTGAGAATTGTCTCTTGTACACTTTGTACAGTACAAACGATTTCAAGGAAGACACAAAGTTTACTGTTGTTCCCTTTGGGAACAACCACTAAACAAATAAAATTCCTAGAAGATCACGCATAAGACATTTAGAGTACCCAAAACAAACCCCCCGTCGAAAAACAGTCTTCGTTGGAAATCAGAAACACGTATTTAGACATTTTTCTTACGAAAAAACTATTCATGAGCGGGAAAATTAGTGTAGTAGTTATTATTTGGCTATTTGTATCTTTGTGCAGTAACAACGACAACTCGATTTACGTCTTTGAAAATTTGACGCAAGTTTTAAATGCGGTCGAGGTATTTACAAGCTTTATTATCCCGGCAATTGTACGAGAGCAACAAAAATGATAAATAAGATGGAAGAAAAGAAAAAAGGTAAACATTTAAGGACAGCCGAAAGAAAAAAATTGTACAGAAATTTTAACAAAAAACTAAGAAAACAAACGAATAAGGCAAGAACAGTATGGCTTGACACGGAATGAAGGGAAATCGAAAAACTGGAGAAATTATGTAGACATGGTTTGGTATATAATAAAGTAGAAAAGTACGCCAGATAGGGAGAAAAAAGGTGGAAGTACAGGGATAAAAATCTGGATGGGAAGTTGTTGACAGAAGAAAGCGAAGTATTGGGAAGGTGGAAAGAATATATGGAGAAATCATATCAAGCAAAGTACCAACAACACAGCTGACAGTGGAAAGCGCAGGGGAAGCAGAGAATGACAACATCGGGGATGGTATTCTACCAACGGAAGTAATGGCAGCCATAAAAGAAATGAAGGATGGGAAGGCAGCAGGAGTCGATAGTATTAGTATCCCTATGGGTTTCTTGAAATGTCTGCAAAAGAGGGGTCAAAAAAATTAGATCTCTTACAATTTACGAAAGTGGGTTGTTGCCAGGAGACATTTTCTATTCAGAAATGGTGGCTCTACCTAAACAACAACGGTACAAAAAAAATTTCAGAATATAGAACAGTCAGCCTAGTGACCCTCACAGCAAAGGGCTTATTGAAATATCGGATAGAAGACAACAATGTTATGGGGGGGGGGGGGGGATTTAGTAGAGGAAAAGTTCAGTTTCAGAAGAGGAATAGGCAATAGGAGTGGTGAGAATGATATGCGAAGGATATTTGGAAAAAGGGAAGACCTTCTGTGTAGCTTTTGTTGACATTCTGAACGCAATCGATTGGTAAACTGGGAGAAACTGTTGGACATACAAAAAGCAGAAAGGTGTCAACTGGAGAGAAAGGTGACTAATACGACACTTATTTATGAAACAAAAAGCAAAAATCAGGGTTGGCTGTAAAAAGACGAACTGGTTTAATATTATAGATAGAGGGGTTTAACAGGGATGCTGACAGGCATGGCGGGAATATGTTGGAAAAGAGAAAAATATGGTATAAACATCGGAGGGAAGAGGATTGTTAGTATACGATTTGCGTATGACATGATTGTATTTCCAAGAGAATAATAATAGCTTGTGATATTGCTAGAAACGTTAAAATCGGTAAAATTAATTGTGACAGAACAACTAAATCTAGCACACTTAATAATGTTTAAAATTTGAATTTTACGTGTATGGTGACACGTTTTGTTTATTACATTTATTAAACTCACCTGGCCAAGCTTTGTATCGCTCTCTCACCAGGAGGAAGTGTTCCCGCGCTGTGGCAGTCTTCGTTCGCGTCGAACAAACAACTGAAAAGAGCACAGATTTAGTATCAAAAATAACAACTTCTGAAGGTCGAACTTTCAGACTTTCCCATTGTTGGTTAAAAAAATTAAACCAAGACAATTACAGTAATGAAAATTGTGGTTCGTTTGTAAAACAAGAAAAAAATGCATGGTCTTAAGGGCGTCGTTTTCGTTATACAGGATGGCAAAGAAAATGTAACTTCCTGTATACTGCGACCAAGTATTTTGATACTTTAATGTGGAGATTCTAATGAGAGAGAAAACGCAATAGGTATACCTTGACCGACACCTCGCTTTTGAGACAAAATGCACCTTTTTTAATTCCTAAAAAAATCAAATAATTTCATTTCCAAAATGTCTTAAGTTTCAATAACAGTATTTCTGGCAAATTTTTATATGAATATCAATGTGATTGTAATGAGAATTCCCTATCGCTCCTAAGAACGCCATTAAGGCTGGCGCACCCAACTTCGTTGGAAAATGGAGGTATTTTGAGTGATTCGCTACTTCTCTGGAAATGCTTTTCGCCATTTTTAAAAGAAAAGCGCTTTTGTACAAAAAAGCTGGAGAAATAAATTGCGAAAGAACATTTTCTAGAAACAGAAAGCAATCAAGTTAGTTGTCGATCCAGGTGTAGATGAATAATAGCTAAAATTGTTGGAAATTTAGTTCAAAGGTACCTAGATACTACTAAGAAAGTTGAGAGTCGCGTTACATTTTCGATGTGAATTTCAATTAATTGTGTGATCAATATAGTTATTTACGTTATAAGTCCGGTAGGTTACTTGTAACAGTACGAGTTAGACATTATGGACGAGGCGACGTCAGGAGCCGAGTCAAGAATGTCTTAAACGAGTACTGTTACAAGTACTACCGGACGT